ATAGGCCATCACACCTAGCTATGAGCTTTTATATTAAGAGTGTGGGACAGAAGTACATAAAGTTATGATAAAGTTAGTATTTCCTATAGATGGGGGAAAGGATTCATTACTCCACAAGGACTGCTAAATTAGCTCACCTCTGAAAGAAGGAAAAAACACTTCCCATTTTGTTTTTTTCTTTTTGCTGGGAATTAAACGTAGGGCCTTGCACATGCTAAGTCCTTATATTTAAACAAAAATTAGATAATATAATCAAATGTAAATCTAAATCATGTGTAGACATTAATGAAAATTTAAAAAATTACATTTGTAATTTTGAAGACACTTTCTAAGCATGTGACTAAAGTAAAAATTAATACAAAATTTGACTAAGTTGTATACACAAAGCCTGTACAAATTAGAAAACCTCAGAAAACAAAGTTTAAATACATACAACATAGTGGGAAGATATTTGGAATATATACGTTGGGAAAATAGTCTATATAACAGAATATGTGTATGAGACAGGATAGACAGGATAAGGGTTAAAAATATGAATTCCCCCCCCCTTCTCCCTTTCTTATTTATTTATTTATTTATTTATTTATTTTTGGTACCGGAGATTGAACTCGGGTCCTTGTGCATGTGCAGCAGGCGGCGAACCCACTGAGCTAAATCCCTGGCCCCCCTTTCTTTTTCTTTTTAAACAGGGTCGCCTATGTTGCCTAGGCTCACCCAAATTCCCAAATACAAGCAATCTTCCTGCCTCAGCCACCTAAGAGGCTGAAACCACAGGCTCACCACCACACCTAGCTCAAAAACATAGATTCTGATACTAAGCAGAGTAGTACACATAATAAATTTGAGGGTTTTTTTTTTTTCCCCAGTACTGGGAATTGAACTCAGGACCTTGTGCTTGCCAGGCAGGTGCAGCGCCGCTGAGCTACATCCCCGGCTGAGTTCGGTTTTGTTCTTTGTTTTCTTTTGTTGGGTTTTTTTTGCTTTGTTTTGTTTGTTTTTTTGAGACAGGGTCTCACCTTGTAGTTCAAGTTGGCCTTGAATTCACGATGTAGCCCAGGCGGGCCTCAAACTTGCAATGATCCTCCTACCTCAGCCTCCTGAGTGCATGCACCACTATGCCTACAATAAATGTCTGCCATTGCTCCTGATAATAATTTTTTTAAAACACATACCTATAACAAATGAGTATTTAAATAAAAGAAGCCAAACTAACGAGTAAGCAAAAGCCAAGTGAGGTACTGCACACTTGTACTCCTAACTATTCAGGAGGCTGAGGCTGGAGGATCATACCTGGGCAATTTAGCAAGAGACTGTGTCACAATAAAAAAATAAATGGCCAGGCTGGGTGGGGTGGAGCATGCCTATAACCTCAGCACTTGGAAGGCTAAGCCAGGAGGATCACTGAGAGTTTGAAGCCAGCCTAGGCAACATAGTGAGTTCAAGGCCAGTCTGAACTATATAGCAAGATACTGCCTCAAAAATAACAACAGGTCTGGGGATTTAGCTCAGTGGCACTGCACCTGCCTTGCAAGCACAAGGTCCTCAGTTTGATTTCCGGTACCAAAAAAAAAATAAAAACAAGGCCAGGTGCAGTGGTGCATCCCTGTAATCCCCAGCAGTCTGGGAGGCTGAGACAGGAAGATTGGAAATTTGAGCCCAGCTTGGGCAACTCAGCAACTTATTAAGACTATTAACTCAAAAAAAAAAAAAGGGGTGGGGGTGGGGCTGGAGATAGACCCCAGTGTAAAGGCCCCAAGCTCAATGCACCATAGTGGGGGAAAGAAAGGAAAGAAGGGAGGAAGGAAGAAAGGAAGGAAGGACCAGGCATGGCAGTGCACATCTGTAATCCCAGCACTTGGGAGGCTGAGGCTGGAGGACTGCCGTGAGTTTGAGGCCAGCCTGGATGAACTACATAGTAAGACCTTGTCTCAAAAAACCAAAAATGGGCCAGGGATTTAGCTTAGTGGTGTTGCGCCTGCCTGGGAAGCGCAAGGTCCTGAGTTTGATTCCCAGTACCAGAAAAAACCCACAAAAACAAAAGAAAAAAAAAGGCCTGAGGATGTAGCTTAGCTCAGTGGTGGATTGCTTATCTAGCTTACCCTGCGTTCAAACCCCAGTGCCACACACACAAAAAAAGAAAGTAGGCAAAAATACACACATGTATTCACAGAAGCACTGTTCACAAGAGCCTAGAAATGAAAACAGGCTACAGGTCTATCCATAGATGAATGGATAAACAAAATGTGGAAAATGAGGTTTATGGTAGAGCACAGTGGTAAAAAACACTTGCCCTAGTGTGGGTCATACTCTAGGGTTAGCCACAGCATGACAAGTAAAAAAATGTGGCAATGCATACAACACTGTTATTTAGTCTTAAAAATCAAAGAAGGGCCCATGATGTAGCTCAGCTATATGGTGCCTGCCTGGCCCTGAGCTCGATTCCCAGTACCCCACCCCCAAAGAAATTCTGATACCTGCAATAACATGCATGAATATTGAGGAAATTATGCTAGGTGAAATAAGTCAGTCAAGAAAGAACAAATACTACATTATTTCACTTACATGGGATCTCTACCAGGAGGAATCAAACTCATAAAAATATAAAATGGTGGTTGCCAGGGACTGACAGAGGAGCTATACTGAAAGTTTCAATAAAGAATGATAATGAAGGACTGGGGATTTAGCTCAGTGGTTCCACCGCCTGCTTCGCAAGCATAAGGTCCCGAGTTCCATCCCCAGTACCAAAAAAAAAAAAAAAAAGGAAACAAGAATGATAATGAAAATTATAATTATTATAAAAGCAAGTCAAGGATGAGAGGACATTAATGTCATCTAACTGTACAGCTACACAGAGTCCACCAGGTTCTTAACACTCCACTGCCGATGACACAAAATTCAAAACATGATCATTAAGGCCAGGGATTTAGCTCAGTGGTGCCTCGCCTGCCTCACAAGCTCAAGGTTCTGAGTTCAATCTCCAGTACCAATAAAAAAAAAAAGATCATTTCCATTGGGTCTGATAAAACTAAAGAGCTACTGCTGTGGTAACACCACCTCCCCTTTATCCAAAAACCTGGTTGTTCTCTGTGTGATTCCCACCGAGAAACCAGATGTGAATCCTAAATTAAGCAATGTCTATATAGAAGCCACATTTTGTTGTTGTTGTTTTGGGGGTTTTTTTGGTAGTGGGGATCTAACCCGGGACCTTGTGCTTGAGAGACAGGCGGTGGAACTACTGAGGTAAATCCCCAGCTATAGAAGCTACATTTTGATCAGTCCTATCACACTTTCCCTGACCTACTACATGAGGCAGAAACGTTTCTAGTGTTCTTTCCCTTCTAGGAAGGTCATACAATGTGGAGGTAGCTCGAGGGAAGGAGGATCTCAAGTTGCAGGCCAGCCAAGGCAAATTAGACAGACTCTATCTTTACTAAGTAAGCATTCTAGTATTGAATTTTGGGTTAAAGAAAACTATGCCTTGAGCTCTGACAGCAGATGGTGGGGCGAGGAGCGAGGAGCCTTCGAAACGGGGTTTGCTACCGTGCCCAACGCACGTCGTAACCATCCTCAGTACTTCAAGGGCTCTGTTTTGCAATACTTCAGATCCTTTAGGCGGGGAAGAACACTCAAGGGTAAGAATATCCACCAACAGATAAGGAAGGGGTCCCTCCCCGAAAGCAATCACGCTCCCCAGGCAAGGAGGCCCTCAAGACACCTTGCAAACCACCTCCCAATTGCCGAGTAATCCCGAAGAAGCGGCGCATTTGTAAAGCGGTCACCTGCTCGGCTCCAAGGCCGCTTCCCCACTCTGCAGCTGAACAGGAGTCCAACCCTTGTCTCTCAGGGCAGCACCCTGCGGGGTGGTTCCTTGCTTATCTTCCGGGGCTGCTTCTCCAGTGAAGCCTGCTGGGAAGCACGAGGGGTCTCGCAGCCTCCACTCTGCAGGCTGGACGCGGGAAGGCGTGGGTGGGTGGGTGCGGGGACTCAGCGTTAACGGTCCTCGCGGGCGTGTGTGTGGGTGACCCACAATCCCTAGCGAGAGCGGGAAGGGGGGGGCAGGCGAGGGGGACGGCTGGCGAGAAGAGTCAAGAGAGTGGAACCCGAGTGGGCGCGGTGGCGCGTGTCTGTAATACCAGCACTCTTGTGGAAAGGGTGAAGCAGGATGGCAAATTGGAGGCCATCCCAGGCTAGAGAGTTTGAGGTCAGCTTGTGTTACATAGTGAGTTCGAGGTCAACCTGGCCAATTTAGTGAGATCTTGTTCCAAAAAGAGAGAGGGACCCTAGCATGGTAGCATAGGCCTGTAATCCCAGCGCGCGGGTGGCTGAGGCAGGAGGACTCTGCAAGTTCGAGGCCAGCCTTGGTTACATAATGAGTTCAAGGCCAGCCTTTAATACATCGTGAGACGCTGTCTCAAAAAAAAAAAAAAAAAAATGGAGCGGAGAGAAGCAGAAATGAAGTTTAATCTTTACATGATGGTTTCCTAGATTTTGCACAAGGGAAAAAAAAACGTAACTGGCTAGTGTTCCTTTTTGTTCCCACTATGCCCACTTAGGGAGAGCATACCTAACAAAGACTCTCAGGGTCCCAACCCAACGGGGCAACGCAGACAAGCAAATATGTAGGGCTCCTCCTGGCTCTCTGTTCTATGGTCTCCATCCATCTTTTAACTCACCATATGTACTTTTTTCTTCCCACCCTTAGAAAAACACAAGATGTCGTCTGGGTGTACATTTTTTTTTCTTACCCTTATGAAAACCCAGGGTTTTGCAACTAGCTGTATCCCCATTCCTTTTTATTTTGAGATAGAATCTCGAACTTTTGCTCCTTCTGTCTAAGCCTACCGATTTCCGGCAGGATGCATGTGACACTGAATGGACAAATCTCAGATAAGACTTGAAGGAATCACAAAGGAACCTGCGCCCAAGTGTGACAAAAGGCACGCTTCTACAGAAGCAGAGCGGACTGAGGCTTCGCCCCGCCCCTTCCGCCTTACGTTTGACGTCACAGCGCGCGGGCTTGAAGTGTTGGACCCACCGGGTTTTAATGGCTTTGGGTCTGCGCAACTCCGTACCCAGGCGCTGTGTTTGAAATGCAGCGGGACTTAGTGAGTTTCCCGCTGTCTCCAGCGGTGCGGGTGAAGCTTGTGTCTGCAGGTTTCCAGAGTGCTGAGGAACTCCTAGAGGCGAAACCCTCCGAACTCAGCAAAGGTAACCACTTGCGACGGCAAGCTGAGGCACATTTTCCCGCCTTCAAGGCTTCATTCTGTTCCCAGCAGGCTACTGCCGCCTCCGGCCGAGTTAACAACGGGAAACGGATTTTTACTCCATTTAAAAGTTGTCTGGCCGGGAGTAGCGGTGCAAGCCTGTAATCTCAGCTAATTAGGAAGCTGAAGTAGGATGGCGAGCTCAAGGCTATCCTGGGCAAGTTAGCGAGACCCTTTCTCGAGAAAAAAAATTGTAAAATATGTCAAATTGCTCTCTCTGTCTCAGTACCTGCGGAATGCTTTCAGGATTATCCGGTTTATGCTCAAAAGAACCCTTTACTTGAATTAATATGTCCAGTATATAGGTGAGCGAACTTATCTGCTTGAGGTTACACAACTTCATGAAAATGGTTTGGATCTAGTGGTGCTAGAATTGGGAAGCACATTGTGTATTTTTCCATGTTCCAAGATCCAAGGGGGTGGAGATTAAATTCCAGAAAGGAATTTCGTGTGAGAGTAGAGATACTAAAAAAGGAGACTATTACCTTAGATCTGAAGAAAACAATAGCAAGACTCCGCCTCCCGTTCTGGCGGTAACAGTGATTGACACTTAAGGGCCTTTTTACCACTGAGCCCTGCTTTATTTATTTTGCGACAGGGTCTCTGTGAGTTGTCCCGGCTGGCCTTGAACTTCTGCCTGCCTCCAGAGTAGTTGCACACCACTTTCCTTATGTAATTCACTGAAAAGCCCAAACCTCATTTTCCAGACCACCGAAGATTATTTGTTGTTGGAACCATTATCGTGAGGCACACAAAAATGATGCTAGGATTTAGCTCAGTGGTTCTGTTGCCTGCCTCACAAGCACAAGGTCCGGAGTTTGATCCCCGGTACCGGAAAAAAAAATGATGCTAGCGTGGTCACTCTCATTGTACACATAACACTGTGGTATATCCAGGCCTGTGCTATTCACTAAAGAAGATAGAAAGGTGTTTTAGGGATTTTTTTTTTTTCTTTTGCGGTGCTGGGGTGGAACCTAGGCCTCATACATGCTAGGTTTGAACACTACCACTGAGCTACATCCTTAGCATCACTCAGTTATCTAAAAGTTAAAATTAATGAAGACGAACCATTGTTGTGCTAAACTTTTAAATCTCTAAAGTCAATGCTGTGATTTCTTATTTTACTTTCAGAAGTTGGGATATCTAAAGAGGAAGCCCTAGAAACTCTGCAAATTGTAAGAAGAAAATGTCTGACAAATAAACCAAGAAATGATAGTACATCTGATACTTCATGCAGAAAGTGTACGGCCCTGGACCTTCTTGAGCAGGAGCATACGCAAGGCTTCATAGTTACCTTCTGTTCTGCACTAGATAATATTCTTGGGGGTGGCGTACCCTTAATGAAAACAACAGAAATTTGTGGTGCACCAGGTGTTGGAAAAACACAATTATGGTAAAATAAGATGTTTCTGTCTTGAGGTTGGGTTTAATAGCATTTTATGTAAATAATATTGTGCTTTGGGTTTATAGTCAGGAGAGCAAGAAAAGGCTTATCTGGCTCTTAGTTGGATGCGTATGTGCCTCAAACAAAAACCAGCTTAACAAAATGTGTCATTTGCACTGTTTTACTGTGGTCACTAGGGTAAACAGGCAGTCTTTATTCAAACATTTGAAAAATTTATGCATGGTAAGAAAGGGTTCCATTTCCAGAAGCCTAAAAAACACAGAAATTCCTTAATCTTGATTTCTGGATACACTGTTCCCTCTAATCCCAGCATCAGTTGGTTCAAAAACATCTGGAGGCATGGAGAGTCAGCTGTCTCTATAGCCTTGGGTAGTATATTTGTGTTTATAAGTACTTTTAGAAGTGTCTCCCTGGTCATTATCTGGAGTTTGAAAAACCTTGCTGTAGAGATAGTGATAATCATTTGGTCATTTGACTTATTTCTTGACAGCATGCAGTTGGCAGTAGATGTGCAGATACCGGAATGTTTTGGAGGAGTGGCAGGTGAAGCTGTTTTCATTGATACAGAGGGAAGTTTTATGGTTGAGAGAGTGGTAGACCTTGCTACTGCCTGCATTCAACACCTTCAGCTTATAGCAGGAACACACATGGATGAAGGTAAGTTAACAAATTATCCTTTACTCCCATATAACAAAAGTAGTTTGCATTTGTGCCCATCTTATATCTCAGGAAGAGAGTATTTGTGAAACTTAATGATTTAACAGTTCATTGGTGTTGAGTTCTCATACTTCTGTTATAAAATGAGAAATGCCATAACCTGAACTGGGCTATTCTTTTTTTTTTCTTTGGTACCAGGGATCAAACTCGGGACCTTGCGGTTGCGAGGCAGGTGGTGGAACCACTGAACTAAATCCCTGGCCCTGGGCTATTCTTTTTTAGTTTTCATTTCTTACTACAGTACCTTTGGTGCAAAACCTTTGTCTATATTTCAGTGTATGACTATAAATCACCATATTCCAAGTTGCTAATGTGTATACTTAGTATAAGTCAGTGTTGATAAATGCATTCAGTGTATATCGACTTCCATACTGTGTTTTCTAAAAATGAAAGATAGCTTTTAAAACCACATTTACAAATGTTTGAAATTTAAGCTGATTGGCCTTTTGAGGCTTTGAATAGTGTGTATTTGAATAGTGTGTAATTTACTTCATTACTTCATTAAATCTATCATTAAAGAGTAATTTTAAAACATTAAAAAGATTTTTTTTTCTCCATAGTAGGGTTTAAGTTCTACCACTGAGCTATATCAGCCCTATTTTCATTTTTTTTAATTTTGAGACTTGGCCTTGTGAAATCACTAGGCTGTCTTGCACTTAGTGATCCTTCTACTTCAGCTTCTTAGAGTGCTGGGATTAGAGGTAGCCTGGCTAAAACATATTTTTAAAAAGACCATTTATATTCAAGTTCTTGTCCTTTCAAGTTCGAATTCTTTATGTGTCAAAGTAAATAGCTTCTGTTTTGACTACTTGCTTTGTTGTATTTTATTTTATTATTCTGTGCTACTGGGAGTGACATCCCTAACCCTATTTATTTATTATTTTAAGACAGGATCTTGCTAAGTTACTTGGACTAGGTTCAAACTTGCTCAAATGATAGCGTGCTAAGGATTACTGATGTGCACCACTCCACCTGGCACCTGTACATTTTAAATTGCAGTAATTAATTGGTTTCTCTCTGAAATGTGTACCAAACCAAACTCGTTATTTCCTGATCCAATCTAAGGATTTTATATCATTTGTTTCTATTTAAATACTGTACACCATTCAAGGGAAAAATGCTTCACTTGAATGTTTTTCCTTTTAACTCTTAATTTCTAGTCTTACAAAAACAATAAGAGAAACTTCTTTTATGAAGAGATATGAAAAGTTAGTTGTTAAAGGACTAGTTAGGTCAGACATGGTGGTACTTGCTTATAATCTAAGCCTTTAGGAACTGGGTAGTTTAGCAAAACACTATCTGAAAACAAGTAGAGAAAACTGTGGTTTCATATGTGAATTAACAATTTCTAGAGAGCCTAGTATGTAAAGAAATAGTGGAAAAGGTGGAAAAAGAGGTCAGGAATTATGAAATGATAGTTTATAGTAACCATGCTATAATCTTGTCAGCTTTTAAATAAAGTTTGTTACACAAAATAGAGCCTTTTATTATTATTTATTTATTTTTTTTGGTACCGGGGATTGCACTCGGGTCCTTGCGCTTGCGAGGCAGGTGACGGAACCACTGGGGTAAATCCCCCGCCCAGCCTTTTATTATTAAAGAGTACTGTTTTTCTACAATTTTAACCCTATCAAAACAAGTGAAACTAGCTGGGCATAGTGGCACATGCCTGTAATTCTAGCACTTGCTATGAGTTTGAGGCCAGCCTGAGCTACATAGTGAGTTCGAGGCCAGCCTGAACCACATAGCGAGACCCTGTCTTAAAAAATCAAACCAAACAAAAGAACAAGTAAAAGTTATTAAGATTGCTTTCTTGTTTGTTTCAGAACACGAAAAAGCTTTGGAGGATTTCACTCTTGAAAATATTCTTTCCCATATTTATTATTTTCGTTGTCATGATTACACAGAGCTACTGGCACAAGTTTATCTCCTTCCTGATTTACTTTCAGATCACTCAAAGGTATGGGTCAAACTACTGAAATATAACTAACCAAGTATCTTTGGAGGTATTTGATAAGCATGAAAAGAAAGTACACAGTAGCATAAAATTAACATCAAAACCCATCTTCTTTTCCCTACGATTTGTATTTATTTTGCACACATATGTTTACACAGTATTCAAACTTCAATTTCAAAGGTATTTAAAATATACATTATCCGGGTATATGTGTATATATAGGTGTGTGAAGTTTTGAAGTTTAAATAATATATAGTAAAACCTTGGTTTGTGAGCATAATTTGTTGAGGAAACATGCCTATAACCAAAGCACTTGTATATCAAAGTGAATTTCTCTTATAAGAAATAATGGAAACTCAGATGATTCATTCTACAACCCAAAAATATTTATATAAAAATGAAATGATTATAATACTGTAATATAATACAAAATAATAAAATACAAAATATAAAGAAAAAGAACCTGTCTTATCTCTAAAAACCTTCATTGCTGTAGGATTACTTTCACTATCATTAACGGAATTACTACTATCTACTGGCTCAATGGAATCTTTTTCTTTTCATGCAACTTTAACAGGGAACCTGTCCAGTGAGACTTGCTTTTCCTTCCTTTTGAGGATTTTGTGGAAATGTGACATTGCATTGTTATTAAACAGATTCATTGCTCACACTGCTACAGCTTTATTTGGGTAGTGCTTTGCTACAAAATTTTGCAGTTTCCCACATTTAGACATCTCCCTAATCTCATTTGAAGTGAGAGACTCCTCTGCCATTTTCTCCTACTCTGTAGGTGAGATCTCCATAAACTCTTGCTATTGGGAGATAATCATCCATAATCCTGTGGTGAAAGAGAAAGAGCAAAAGAACAAAGCATTGGTTTAGTTATGATCATGTGATATTTGGCATTATGTACTATTTTTATTGCAAGACATCACTCATTTATCAAGTTAAAATTTGTTAGAAATGTTTGCTTATCATATGGAATACTCAGACATGTTATTCGCAGAAGTTATCTGCAATCCAAGGTTTTACTCTAATTTAAAAATTGAAAATCAGTTGACTATAGATATGTGAATTTATTTCTGAATTCTTATCGTTAGATTTATATGTCTAATGTTTTTTAATTTTTAAAATTTTGTTTTGTTTTGTTTTGAGACAGAGTCTTGCTATGTAGTTCAGGTTGGCCTTGAAGTCACAGTGATTATCCTGCTTTAGCCTCCTGAGGGTCTGGACTACAGGCATGTGCCACTACACTCAGCTTTTTTTTTTTTCTTATTTTGGTACCGGGGATCGAACTTGGTACCTTGAGCTTGCGATGCAGGCAGCAGAACCACTGAGCTAAATCCTCAGCCCTTTTCTTTCCTTAATAAAGTAAATTTTATTTATTTGTTTTTTGAAGCTAAACATTTATTGGTCCATTTTAGATATACATATAAATGTTTAGCTTAAAAAATTTTTACTTAAAAAAATCTGAGTGTGGTGGCGCATTCCTGTAGTCCCAGCCGACAGGTGGCTTTTTTTTTTTTTTGAAGAAAATTTAATGATTAGCTTTTGTAAATATATATACAAATTTAGTGCAACTTTATAGAATCTATTGGATCTGTTCAGGAATAATTACTGACAAAATTTTAAGACTAAAGTTCCAAATAGTCTGAGGTTTCAGGGACCCAGTAGTAGCAGGGACTATTTCTTTCATTTTCCATGATGTTATGGAAGAACATGATTGACAGGGAAAATGCACATAGAGAGACAAATAAAGAAATGAATAGTCTAGCTAGTCACCTGTAATCCCAGATACTTTAGAGGCTAAGTCAGGAGAATTACAAGTTTGAGGCCAGCCTATGCAATTTAGCAAGACCCTATTTTAGAATTAAAATAAAAAGGAGCCAGGAGTGGTGACACACACCAGTAATCTCGGTACTCTGGGAGGCTGAGGCAAGAGGATTAAAAGTTTAAGCCTAGGGCTGGGGATCTAGCTCAGTGGTTTCGCTGCCTGCCGCGCAAGCTCAAGGACCTGAATTTGATCCCCAGTACCAAAAAAAAAAAAAAAAAAAAAAAGTTTGAGCCTAGCCTGGGCAATTTAGCAAGTCAGTGAAATCCTATGTCAAAATTTAAAAAAAATTTCTTTTGTCAAAAAGGGCTGAGCCAAAGGAAGGGACAAGAAAAAAGGTGAAAATAGAAGGAAAAAATGAAAACAAAGCTTTTATACATAGGGAAGGGAAGGGGCTTGAGGGGGAGAATGAAATAAAATAAAATTTATTAAAGGAAAACAACAAAAGAGGCTGAGGTAGTAGCTCAACATGAGAGGTCTGGGTTCAACCCACAGTACTAAAAAAATAAATAAATAAAATATAAAAAAGGCTGGGTATGTCCCAGCTCAGTGGTAGTATACTCCTGGGTTTAATCCCCAATACTACGCAAAAAAAAAAAAAGAAGAATATTCTAAGTAAAAGATTAAAACATTGCTTAGCTGAATTTAGTGGGCTTTTAGTTCCAACTGTTCAGAAGACAGAGACAGGACGATCGCTTGGTAGCATCCTGGGCAACACAGACTGTATGGTAGTGTGTGTTCATTGTCCTAGTTATTGGAAGGCCGAGGCAGGAGGATCCCTGAAGCCCAGGAGTTCAAGGCCAGCTTATGTGTGTGGAAAATGATTACCAAGACATTGCTTCAGAAAAGCCTTTTCTTTGAGTAAACCCTAACCATGTAAGAAAAAAAATTAGCCATACAGTTTTTTGTTTGTTTATATTTAAATTGATTTCCAGATTCTTTTTGATTTTTTTTTTTTTGTACCAGGGATCGAACTGGTAACTTGGCACTTTTTGAGACAGGCGGCAGAACCACTGAGCTAAATCCCTGGCCCTCTTTTTGATTTTTGAATCTCAGCTTTATATATTGGTTTACTGCTCTAACTTCACCATTTATATATTGATAAATTATTCTAACTTCACTGAATTTTTTTGTAATCAAAACTTTTTTTTGTGGTGCATGTGCTAAACAAGCACTGGACTACTGATCAATATCTCCAGGTTATAAAAAAGCTTTTATGTCAGTTTCACTAAACTTTCTTGGTTGGAATTCAAGACAAACCTTATTGTGAGGGTTTTCTTAAAAAATCATAATCAATTCTGTGATGGTTATTTGCCCTATGATGCATTTGAAATTAAGGAAGAAAAGTAAAAAAAAATTAACTTTTTGAAGAAGATATTATCGTTTAATATTTGAAAAGATTTTTGTTTTACAATTTTTTTTTTGTTGGTACCGGAGATCGAGCTTGGGTCCTTGCGCTTTCGCAGCAGGCAGTGAAAGCACTGAGCTAAATCCCCAGCCCTCTATTTTTTTTTGAGATGGAATCTCAGTATGTTGTGCAGGCTAGTCTTGAGCTGGCGGGCTTAAATAGTCTTCCTGCCTCACTTTGTCAAATAGCTGGAACCATAGAAATGGGCCATCATATAAGGCTTAATGGCTTGTTGATAAATTGTCAAGCCAGAGTACATTTTAGCTTTATTTTATTTTATTTTATTGAGATAAGATCTCAGTATGTTGCATGGGCTGGCCTTGAACTAATAGTCCTGCTTTAGCTTCTCCAGCAGCAGGGAGTACAGGCTTATGTCTCCACATCCAGCTCTACGTTTTAATAGTTAATGAGTACAGTACAAATCATTGGATAAATTGACTCATAACTCTCCAAAAGAAAGCCTTTCTTTGGAGAGTTGGAAATAAAGCCTTGGATTTTAAGGTTTGTTTCTGTAATAGAATTGCTTTTTGGATGCCATTTTGATTATTTTTAATACCAAACCTACTATTATCTCTTCTGTATTTAGGTTCGATTAGTGATAGTAGATGGCATTGCTTTTCCTTTTCGTCATGACCTTGATGACCTATCCCTCCGTACTCGATTACTAAATGGCCTAGCACAGCAAATGATCAGCCTTGCAAATCATCACAGATTAGCTGTAAGTATTACTGATCAAGAGAATTTTATAAAGATCAAGAGAATATAATACTAATTTCTATGTCTAGAAGTTGCAAAATACATTTTACCTGACAAAGGAAATAATACACACAGTTTTGAAGTTAGTTTTGTTTTAGATTGGTTTCTACAAAACATTAATTCCAGTCAGAAGTATATAATTTTTTCTTCAAATTAACAAGCATAATACACATCATTTTAAAAAATGGACTTTGATAAAGAAATGTCATATTATTTGGTAATTGCAGTGCTTTCTTTGTTAAATACATTGGATGTTTTTTCAGGTCCTCATTTTTCCTTAACTGAGTTTTTGATTATTACATAGTGTACACTCACAATATCAGAAAAATGATGTAGTGTAAGCACCGTAGATATTCTGAGGTATAGCCAACTTTTGTAGATTTGAAATGTGAGGAGAGAGATAAATAGAAATACAGAAGTGAAGAGATAAAAATGAAGTAGGGCAGTAGGCCAAGTGTGGTGGCTCACACCTATAATTTATCACCTGGGAGGCTGAGGCAGGAGGATGGGCTTGAGTTCAAACCCAGCCTGGGATACATAGTGATTTCAAGATGAGGCTGAACTACATAGTGAGACCCTGTCTCAAAAAACCAAAAAAAAGTAAAACTGCAAAAAAAAAAAAAAAAAAGTTGAGTTCAATCCCCTGTACCAAAAAAAAAAAGTCTGTAGCACATACCCGTAATACATATCAAAAATAAAGAACTTCCTTTATACAATTTAAAACATACTTTATATTTTTGGTTTTTTGAAACAGGGTCTCACCATGTAGTTCAGGCTAGTCTTGAACTCAAAGCAATTCTCCTGCCTTAGCCTCCTGAGTGCTGAGATTATAGGTGTGAGCCACCACACCGAGCCTAAAACATAGGTATTTTAAGTTTTTAGATTTTTCCAGATTCTGAAAAGCATAGTATTCTCTTTAAAGTATTTCTTGCCATTAATTGTAATTTAACACTGCTAATACCACTATCAATGAAGATCCCCCAGTAGAGGGCACCCAAGACTAATGGGTTGTATAGTTTCTTTCTTTTTTTTTTTCAGTACTGGGGATCGAACTCAGGACCTTGTGCTTCCAAGGCAGGCATGGTGCCACTGAGCTAAATCCTCGGCCTGTATAGTTTCTTAGTTTTGTTTTCTGGGTTATTTTCTGTTGTTGTTGTTGTTGTGTGTTTTTGGTAGGGCAGCAATGAGCATTGAACTCTAGGCTACATCCCACAGTCTTTTTCATGTTTTTGAGACAGTATCTTGCTAAATTGCCCTGGTTTAGCTTGAGCTTACAATCTTCCCACCCTTGGCTCCCAGAATGCTAGATTATTGGTATGTACTGCCACACTTGGCATTAGGTTTTAACAGAAATAATTCTGTCTTTTCTGGTTAAAAAAGTAGTCTAGCTAAAAGCTGGATGTGGTGGCACACACCTGTAATCCCAGCACTCAGGTGGTGGAGGCAGGAGAATGGATATTTGTTTGAGGCCAGCTTGGGCTACATAGTGAGTTCAAGGCCAGCCAGAATTACATGGTGAAACTTGTCTCACAAAACCAAGCAGGGGCTAGGGATTTAGCTCAGTGGTTCTGCCACCTGCCTCACAAGTGCAAGGTCCTGAGTACAAAAAAAACCCCAACAAAAATAGTCCAGCTGGATGCAATGGTGCACACCTGTAATCCTGACACTCAGGATGCTGAGCCAGGAAATGGGATGTTTGAGGCCAGCCTGGGCTTCATAGTTATAAGCCTACGCTGTAGTACATAGCAAGACCCTGCCTTGAAAAAAAAACCAGCTAAAAAATATGAACAAAAATTTATCCAAATAATAACATGAAATGCCACAATGTTTATGAAGTGATTAAATATAAATGTACCTGCATGGCTGGGCACAGTGGCTCATGCCTGTCATCCTAGCTACTCAGGAGGCCAAGGCAGGAGGATGGCAAGTTCTAAGGCAGTTTAGCAATTTAGTGAGATCCTGTCTCAGATAATAAAGGGCTGTCGATGTAGCTCAGTGCTAAGATCATGTGTTCACTCCCCAGTTCTGCAAAACAAACAATAAATAAGTAAAAATTTAAAATGCTGGGAAAATAACTTAGTGGGAAGACCCTGGTTTCAGTCCCCAGTACTCCCCCCAACACAAAGGACTAACGTGGAACAAGCTATATCCAGGTATACGATTAAGTAAAAAAAACTGAAGTTGCTTAACAATGTATTTAGTGTAATCCAACTTTTTTTTTTTGGTAGCAGGGATCGAACTCAGGTCCTTGCGCTTGCGCAGCAGGCGGCAAAACCACTGAGCTAAATCCCCGGCCCTAGTATAATCCAACTTTTGAGAATTTATATTTATATATATAAAGAAAAACTTCTAGCAGAGTGTCATGGTGCACACCTGTAATCCCAGCACTAAGGAAGCTGAGGCAGGAGTTTAAGGCCACCTTGGGCTACGTGGTGAGTTCAAGACCAGGCTGAAATATATAGAGAGACCCTGTCTCAAAAAAAATAAATAAATAAAAAAACCAAAGAAAAGAACTGAAACGGTGCCTACTTCGAGGGACAGAATTTTGTATAATTGGGTACATGTCTTCTTAACATTATAAATTGTTTGCTTGGTTTTATTTTCAGTTAGCATATACAAAAGCATGTATACCTTTTTTTAAAATTAATTTTTGTTTTTAGTACCGGGGATCGAGCTTGGGACCTTGCGCTTGTGAGGCAGGCAGCAGAATCACTGAGCTAAATCCCTGGCCCCATTTATACCTTTGGATAATAAATATATTTTACAAATTTCAAGTAAGAATGCTACTTGTAGAAAAAAATACATAGAAAATGATAATAGAAAGTGATTATCTGTTACTCAGGGATATTTGATGTATGTATTTCTCTAGACTATGTACTATGCATATACAAGAGTACTTTTTAGAAAACGAGATATTATGCCTGCTGTTATTGTAAAACTTTAGTTTTTTACTTAATATATTGTGAACACCTTCCCTTGTATACTACTTATATGTCTGCCTTACCTTAACAGCTTTTCTGGTACTGGGAAATGAACCAGGGTCTTTGCCTTGAGTCATGTCCCAATCTTTCTGTAAATTATTTTGGGACAACAACTCACTAAGTTGCTCAGGCTAGGCAGGAACTTGCCATTCTCCTGCCTCAGTTTCCCAAAGCATTGAGATTGCAGGTATGAGCCCCCATGCCCATCAACTAAAGTATTTTTAAAGTACTGCAGTTTATAATTTCAAAGTGATTGTTAGTTTAGTATTTTAAAAACTTGAGAAGCTTCTTTAGAAGCTTGAAGTAAGCATACAGTCATTTTCATTTATTTCTATCATGCTAAACCCTAAATTTTATACAAATAATATAGTAATTACTTTATAAGTTTGCTATGAGTGGAAAATCTAATTTTGGGATGTTGAACAACTGGTTAGCTAGTACTTTTACTTACATTTTCTCTTTTTTTTTTTGCTACTGAGGATCAAACTCAGGACCTTGTGCTTGCCGGGGAGATAGCCTGGCCCATACATTTTCTTGAAGATATACTTTCAACTAGCACTGTCTAATTGAACTTCTGGAAAGAGGAATGTGCAATGTAGTACAGTAGCATGGCTTTTATTGCCCCTTTCATTAAAAAAAAATGTTTTAGTAACACATGTTTGTGATACATAATGAATACATTCACATATATACATAACACATCTTAATCCTTTTTGGTTCCCCTCCTCCTGCTCTGCATGGCTTTTCAACACTTGAAATACAGCTGATGCTACTGAGGAGCTTAGTCTCTAGTTTTAACGTTAAAAAATACGCATCTGGCTAATTAATGGCTATGGAATTAGACAGAGCACCTTTAAACAAAAAGTGTCAGCATAAGTACATATCCCAGTGGCTAGAGTTTCAGCACTTGGGAGTATGTACAGTAAAAGGTATTACTCAAACATGTTGGGAATGCCAGTTAGTCATGTTTCATTTAATTACCAATTTAAATTCCTGCCTAGTTTGTTCTAAGATGTCTGCTGTGAGGTAACAAAAGAGGAAGGTACTATGGTACTTCAGGAGGGAGGACTAAAAGAAAAAAATCTCCTGTCATCCATTTGGTATCTGATTGAGATCTAAATGGACCACCAACTCATTTGTAAATTTAGGGTGTTACCATGGCAATGGAAACAGCCAAACAGCCTTTTGTTTCTCAGTTTTCTTATGGAACTGATGATTTGTTTTTCAGGTATACAACTTCTTTCTTGTTTTTCAAACTTTTTAAAAAAATCAGTTTCAGTTTACAATTGTAACTGTCTAGAGAGAAGATCTGTATTGGAAGAATATTTTAAATAACCATTTCTGGAGAATTCTGGATAAAAAGATGTCAGATAATCTGACTTACTAAATTAGCCTTAAGCACTTTTGTTTACTTTGACTGTCAGGAGTGGGTGTGTTGTTCAGTGGTAGAGTATGTGCTTAGCATGCAAGTCTTTGGGTTTAATCCTGGCACCAAAAAAAAAAAAAAATTAAATTGTGTGTGAGCATGGAGTCTTTTCTATATGTTTCTATTTCATCTTCAAAACAAAATTCTGATTTAGTCTAAGCTTCAGATTTCTTCTGTGTAAGACTGAGATAATAATAGTGCTTCCTCATAGAGTAGTTGTAAAGATTAGATAAGATAATGGAACCAAATTGTTCATAACAGTTTATGGAATGTATTAAGTGGTAATAAGTGTTCATTACCACTACTGATATCATTGTTTGTGTTGGCATATACAAAACTTGAATTTTATTTTATTTATTTGGCTTTATGAGACAATATTGTCTCATAAATATACTCATTGTATATTCCAGGCCAGTTTGAACTTCCTGTGTAACCCAGGCTGGCCTTGAACTTGTGATCCTCCTCCCTCAGTCATACAAAACTTCAATTATAAAAGTAAAATTATTCCAGTGCTCCCAGTTGTTTTTATTCCTTAGATCTTTATGTATTGCTTGATATAGTTTATTCTTCTTTTTATAATAAGAGCTTTTTTTGTTTTTATCTATTAACTGTTTTTTATGAGCAAATTTCTTTTTCAGTACTAGGCATTGAACCTGAGGACTTTACACTAAGCTAATTCCCCAACTGTTTTTTTTTTTTTTTAATTTTGAGACAAGGTCTTGTTAAGTTACCCAGGTTGGGCTTGAATTATCCTCCTTCTTCAGCCTCCCTGAGTGCTGGGATTACAGATGTGTACTGTCATGCCTGGCTTATTTTTTAAAATAATCGAAAATATTTTCTAAGTATGTTTTAGCAGTTATATCCAGAATAATAAAATCTCAGGACTATTTACTTGATAATTCTTTGGTAAAGACTCACATTTCTCACATTTTACTTTTGTAGGTAATTTTAACCAACCAAATGACAACAAAGATTGATAAAAGTCAGGCTTTGCTGGTTCCTGCTTTAGGTAGGTAAATTAACGAGATAAACATTTTTACTTTAACACATTTTTTCCTATTTATCCGTTTGATGCTAGTTAAATATAAGCTCCATGAAAACAGACTATTTGTCTTGTTCACTTATATATCTTACCACTAAGCACAATGCCCTGTAATAATGAATGGTCCTTTGACTTTTTTAACCAACATTTATTAAATATCCACTATCTGGCAGCTATGATGTCAGCCACTTGAAATAAAAACATTCAAAAGGGGCTCTTGTTATCAAAACCTCAAGTTGGGGTAGTGGGTGTAGCTTAGTAGATGAGCACCTGCCTAATGTGTGTGCAGTTCTGAATTCTATCCCCAACACTGTAAAGAACAAAAACAAAACAGAAACAATCTCACAGTCTTAGGAAGAAGAGTGAATCCACTTGTATACAAATCATGCTATAGCATACTATGACTGTTCCTAATCTCAGTCGTGATTTTGTTAAAACACACAGCTTCAAGATTTATTTCCACTAAAATCTATAAGCATATTCTCTTTGCCAAGCATGGTGATGTACCCCTGTAATCACAGCTACTTGGAATGCTGTGGTAGGAGGATCACTTGAGCCCAGGAGTTTGCGGCCAGTGTGGCACCATAATGAGACACTTGGCTTTAAAAAAATTTAAAAAGAATATTCTGTTAGAGTTCTTTCTTCTGGGTCTCAGAAATATGTTACTAGGTATGATGATATGGAAGATTGACAAATACATTGACAGAAATCAAAAAGTTCTCTAAAAGCAAAAGCAAATAGGATAATGATTTGACTGTTTATGTAGATAAATTATTAATCTTAGGATGTTACTTGTGCAAGTTTTTTGAAACAGTACAGTATGTTCTTTTTTTTTTTTGAGGCACTTCTAAGTTGCATAGTGTAGTCTTAAAATTATGATCCTCCTGCCTTAGCCACGTGGCCCAGTGGTGCACCTGGGATTACCCTTGTATATGACTGGGCCCAGTTCCAAGTATATTCTTGTTATATTAAATTTAGTAAAAGAAGACTGTTTGATCACAGGCCTTCTAAGAAACTTATAACCTACCTAGTCGATAAGGGAATATACGATTATCATGTTCTTTTTTTCAGGGGAGAGTTGGGGTCATGCTGCTACAATTAGGCTAATTTTTCATTGGGACCAAAAACAAAGGTCAGTATAGAAACAAGCTAGTAATTCTGAATATTAGCATAGTTATACTGAATGCTTAACAGTTTCTTTTTTTTTTTTTCCGCTTAATAGTTTCTTAGAGTTAGTCCGCAAGAAAAGATTTACAGTGACCCATGAACTAATGTTTTGTTGCCCTGTCAATCACTTGGAACAAACAGAGACATATCGTTATATTGTTCATTTAGCTACATAGGGAATTCTTTGGAATATTTAAATGATGGGGTGCGCATACCTGAAACAAGTAGGTGGTTAAGGAATGCCGCCCTCTAAAGTTCTTTCAAATCATTTATTAGCCATGCACAAGGAGGTGTACTCTATGTTCCTAGAAGGGATTGAAAGAAGAATAAAAGCAGGACAAAAGGAAAACTTTTGAGGTTAGGTTTAGGACTAATTTATGTGGAAAATGAGATGGTTTTTCTTAGCTGCTTAATATAGTTCTTGTATGAAATTGTGCATGTTAGTTTTTTCTTCTGTATTTTCCTATCCTGCTTTTATTACCCAGTTACTTACCTGGCTTTCATAAGTATTGTTCTTTAAAATAAAATCATGACAGCATGAAACCTTTGTGTTTGTTTTTAAAGCTGTTGAGTAAGGGAATGAGCCAGCTTTTCTTTTCTTTAAAATAGCCCATTGAATGCTATGAAGTCTTTCAGTTTGCACGTCAAAAAATGTCAGATTCCTGCCAGCCTCTCTGTTTAGTGATTAATTGGCATAACCTAGAGAACATAATATGGAAATCCCCTAATGAAGGAGGCAACTGAGGCAGTGCATGGGTACAGATGGAATAAAGGATCATCTAAATACATTTTGGACCTAGTTGGTAATTTTTTTTTTTAATCTGCATTTGTTTATTCTGCAAACTAAAAAAATCATGCACCCTTGGTAAGTTAGGTTTTACTGACCCAACATCCTAGGAAAACATATTTCTCTTTTTTTTTTTTTTCTTTTGTACTGGGGATTGAACTCAGGACCTTGTGTTTGCGAGGCAGGTGCAGTGGCAGTGAGCTAAATCCTCAGCCCTCTCCATATATGTTTTACAATTAATTCATGCATTTTGTGCTTCCTTTAAAGACGATATTTCCAGCCAAGTGTGGTGGCACATGACGGTAATCCCTGTACTCTCACAGGATGAGGCAACAGGATTGCAAATTTAAGCCCAGCCTCAGCTCCATCCCCATGCCCTTTGTTTTATTTGTTTTTTTGGTTTCTTTTTGGTTTTTTTGAGACAGGATCTTGTTATGTAGGTGAGGCCAGCCTTAAACTCACTATGTGTCCCAGGCTGGGCTCAAAGTTGAGGTGATATCCTGCCTCAGCCTCCTGAGTGCTGGGATTATAGGTGTATACCACCATACCCACCTTGGTTTTTTTTTTTTTTTGGTACCAGGGATTGAACTCAGGACCTTGTGCTCGCAAGACAGGCACCGGAACCACTGAGCTAAATCCCCGGCCCCACCTTGGTTTTTATTTTGAGACAAGGTCTCACTACGTTGCCTAGGCTGGCCCCCAATTTTAGATTCTCCTGCCTCAGCCTCATAAATAGCTGGGATTATAGGCATTCCCCACAAGCCTAGTTTACATAATTTTTGTTGTTATTGTTTGGGTTTGTTTGTTTATTTCTTTAGAGATAGGGTCTCACTCTATAGTTCAGGCTCACCTTGAGCTCATGGTATAGCCCATGCTGGCCTCAAATTTGAGATCTTTCTGTCTCAGCCTCCTGAGTGCTAGGATTACAATCGTGTCCTACCACGTCCAGCTACATTGTGTTTTACGATTGACCCCCCACCTTCATTCTGTAAATAAGTCACTGTATACAGATTGAGTACCCTTTTCCAAAATACTTGGGACCTGAAGTGCTTTGGATTTCAGATTTTTCCAGATTTTGGAATACTTACATATTCATAGTAAGATGTCTTGGGAGTGGGACCCAAGTCTAACCACAGAATTCATTTGTTATACATATAGCCAGAAGGTAATTTTCTGTATGGTTTTAATAATTTTTTGCATAAAACAGAAGTTTCCAGGTATGGAATTTTCTACTTGCAGTATCTTGTAATTGCTCAAAAAAGTTTACATTTTGGAGCATTTTGAATTTTGGATTTTCAGATTCAAGATGCTCAATCTATGCTTGAGCAACAAACCTTATTATAAGACTTGGTACATGGTGGCGCATGGCTGTAATGAGCCTGAGGCAGGAGGAGTGCCATGAGTTTGAGACCACCTTGGGGTACATAGTGAGACCTTGTCTCAAAAAAAAAAAAAAAAATGCTGGGGATTTAGCTCAGTGGCACCGTGGCTGCCATGCAAGCTCAAGCTCCTGAGTTCGATCCCAATCACACACACAAAAGAGACTTGGTTATAGCTCTGCAACTGAACCAAGAGTTTTTGTTTTGATTTGTTTTGTTTTGTTGTACTAGAGATTGAACCCAGGGCCTTGTACATGGTAGGAAAGTACTTTACTACTGACCTACATCCCAGGTTATTTTTATATTATTTTCAGGGTCTTGCTAAATTGTGCTGCCTAGACTCCAGCTTTCAATCCTTCTGGCTCAGTCTTCCAAGTACTTAGCTAGGCTAAAGGCCTGTGCCACCACTCCTTGTTACCTGTTTGAACTGAGATTTTTTTTATTTTTTATGGTCCTGGGGACTGCACTCACACCCTTCACACTGATCTGCATTTGCAGCCCCCCTCCTTTTTTGAGATAGGATCTGGATCAGTTGCCCAGGTTGGCTAGAACTTTTGATCCTCTTGCCTCAGCCTCCCAGAATGGTGGGATTATAGAGGTATACCACAATGTCCAGCTCTGAGACTTTTTTTTAAACATAGTTTATATTTTCCCAGATTTTGGTTGTCCTGTAAAGTCCATCCCACTATTTAAATGTTCTTGGGAATTATCCTTGAGCTAATATGCAGTAGTAGTCTACTCTAGACTTAAATAAGTGAATACTCACTAATAGAATATATAAGTCCTGTCCCTCGTACTGAAAGAAAGAAGGAAGGAAGGGAGGAAAAAAATTATAGGAGCAATGCAAGATACTTTGTCTTTCATCAGAAGAGAAAATTTGCCTTTGTGAAATTGTAGAAGATAGTATTGCTTAGATACCCATGATGTCAGAAAATTAAGCTTACTTTTTGAGAGTTAATTTGGAATGAATTCAGCTTCTTATAGATCTTTCCCAAGAAATTAGAGAATGGTATAGAACACTAACATTGACAACAAATGCATGTGGGGATAATACATAGTTCTTTAAAACTTTTCCTATTTCCCAGATATTATTTTAGTAACTGCTTGCTTATGCTAAGTATTTTACTAGGAACTTTATATACAACATTTCCAGTAGTCTTTTCAATAACTCTTTGAATAATAATCTATACTTTTAATTATTAAAAATGAGAGGGCTGGGAATTTAGCTCAAAACTAAGGCCCAGAAAGGTTAGCAAAGTAATAAATAATAGCTTCTATTTATTGAATATTTATTAATTATCTTTATCATGGAAAGGACCATATTTGTATATATTATTTCATTTTTCAACTCTGAGGTAGTGTTATCCACATTTTATATCATTCTATAATAGAATCTGTTACTTTTCTCATATAAGAATTTCTAGAAGGTAATTATAGTGTTGCATTGATTGCTAGCAAATCTGAATATATATTTCTTATTCTCTGTTTTAGTATTTTTTTGGTACCAGGGATAGAACTTGGGTCCTTGTGCTTTCGAGGCAGGTGGTGGAACCACTGAGCTAAATCCCCGGCCCTTCTTATTCTCAGTTTTAGATAAAATGCTTTATTTTGAAGCTTGTTTTATCCCAGCTTCTGGATATGTGATAGGTTTTTTTTGTTTTGTTTCATTTTTTGCTTTTTTTGCAGTACTGGGAGTTAAACCAAAGACCTGGAGAATGTTAGGCAAAATTCTGTGCCATTGAGCCACAATCCCAACCCTTTTTTGTATTGTTTTCCATCTTAATTTTGAGATACAGTTTCAGTGAATTGCCCAAGCTGGCTTTGAATTTAAGACCTCCTGCTTCAACCTCCCCATACCTGGGATTATAGGCCTGTGCTACTACACCCAGCTTAAAATAGTTTTGCTTTTTTTTTTCATTTTTGGAAGCATGTGCCTTTAAGTTATTAAATGTGCACGAACTCTTTGTAGGATGGGGGAATTATGTTGTTCTTGGTGTGTTTGTTCAGTTGCATGTTTTGGGTTTATGGCACAGGGCTTCATGCATGCTAAGCACATGTTCCACTACTGAGCTATACCCCTGGCCCCAAACTTGCATGAAATTTTACAGTTTTTAAAATTTAGTTTATCTTGAAAGGATAGAAATCGAAATTCATACTGGAGAGAAAATAATTATAAAAATGAACACTTTTCATTTGAGCAGAAATGCTGAAAACCTTGGATAGCCAAATTTATATTGGGACTTGAACTTAGATATACCATCATGCCCAGTACTTCTCCAGGAACCTTTGATTTTTTTAACCTTTGTTTAATGATGAAGTAATATCCTAGCAGTTCTTAAATGCTCTTGTCTGTGTCCTTATATTGTGTGGGTTTTCCTCTAATTTGCATATTCATGATAACATGAGGCCAAGATTGTTCAGAATTACACTGCCATTTGGCAAGAAGATCTGGTGGTGGAGTGGAGTAATACATCAACACCCCCATACAGTGTCTCCTGTGTGTGCTCAGCATTAGAGCACAAATTGTGCTTCTGTCTTATTTCTTCCTGACCCAAAGTATGTAGTTCAGCCATATGTTAAGCTTCATCTCTGCTGGGGCTATGAGCCAAGTGATTCTTTGGTTTAGTTTCTTGTTTTAAGAGGATCTCTTGAGATGCATTCATGACATATGAAAATTTATTAGTTAGTTAGAAATTTGAGGAAGATTTTCAATCTGAAAACTTGGTCCACCTTTGACTTTAAGATTCTTAGTAAATGAGCAAATCCTTCTTAAAAGCTTTTTTTTGGTACCAGGGATCGAAATCAGGTCCTTGCGCTTGCGCAGCAGGTAGCGAAACCACTGAGCTAAATCCCCAGCCCAAAAGCTTATTATTTTAACTGGGTGTGATGGCACATGCCTGTAATCATAGCACTCTGGGAGGCCGAGGCAGGAGAATCACAAGATTGAGCACAGCCTGGGCAACTTAGTGAATTAGTGAGAACACACCTCAAAATAAAAAATAAAAGCCTAGGTATGTATGTAGCTCAGTGCATTGACCCTGGGTTGAATCCCGGGCACCAAAACAGATAGATAGATAGATAGATAGATAGATAGATAGATAGATAGATAGATAGATGGATGCTTAATTGTTTTTAATAACTTCAGAAAAATTAGATATAATGGATGCCTTTTTGGACATTTTTTGTGATACATGGTAATTCAGATACAGGTTTTTCAGAGCTAGCTAAATTTTGGGGGTTTTTTGAATCAAAAAGTGATTTTCTGCCAGGCATGGTGGTGCACACTTGTAATACTGGCACTTAGGAGGCTGAGGCAGGAGGATCACTGTGAGTTTGATGGCTGTGAATTTGAGGCCAATCTAGGCTACATAGTGAGTTCGTAGCCAGCCTAGACTACATAGCAAGACCTTGTCTCAAAAAACCAAAAAAAAGAAAAAAGAAAAAGAAAAGTGATTTTCTGAAGCCAGAGATAGAGCTCAGTGATAGTCTCTGTTTGCCTAGTAGCATGCATAGAGAGCCCTGAGATCAATTTCAAACTCTAAAAAAAGTTATTCTTCAAAAAATCACATTAAAATAAGTTTGCCTCTGTTTTTCTTTCATATTTTTGCATTAAAGATAGAACAGAAGCCTGGCACAGTGGTGTGAGCCTGTAATCCCAGCTATTAGGGACAGCAATGAAACAGGAACATCTCAAGTTCTAGGCTATCCTTGGCAACATAGCAAGAATTATTTTCAAAAAAAAAAAATCAGCCCTAAAGAATGTTAAAAATTTATGCTCTATGCTCTAACTCCTTAACACAGCTTTTATTGTTGGTTTTTAAAAAATATTAATTGGTACATTTTAGGTATACAGTACATTTACATTTATCATTGGGTGCTTGTACCTGAACATGATGTATCTTAGTTCTTATTTTTTTTCCCCATTGCCTATGCACCCTTCACCTCCACCACTCTTCTCTATTTACATAGACTTTGTTTCCTTTTTTTTTCTTTCTTTCTCATAATTTTTCCTTTCCTTTCTTCCCTTTCCCCTTCCCCTCCCACCACCCCTCCACCTTTGGACCTTTTCCTATTTCAAATTATCAGTTATTCGTTTTAATCATTTTCATCCTTATTTACACTTTCAGTTTCTCACACTAGAGATACTATTCGGTATTTACATGTGTGTCCTATTTATTTCACTTAAGAGTATGGCCTCAGTATGCATCCATTTAGCTATAAATGACTCTAGTTTCTTGTTCTTTATGGCTGTACTCCATTTTATAAAAAAACCACATCTTCTTTAATCCGGTTTCCAGTTGATGGGTACTTGGGCTGTTTCCAAATTGTTGGATTTTTGAGACAGGGTCTTGCTATATAGTTCAGGCTGGCCTTAAACTCACTATGTACCCTGGGCTGGCCTCTAACTCACAGCAATCCTCCTGCCTCTGCTTCCTGATTGCTGAGACTATAGGCTTGTGCCACCATGCCCAGTTTTTGGCTTTTTTTGAAACAAGGTCTTGCTATGTAGTTTAGGCAGGCCTTGAGCTCACTGTGTAGCCCAGACTGGCTTCAAATTCACAGCCATCCTCCTGCCTCATCCTTCTGAGAATATAACTATTCTTACATTATGTATTACTTAGTAATTATTTTATTAATTGGTAGTATATGACGGTTTGAATCCTGCTGGGTTTTTCATTCATTCATTGATTCATTCATTCATTGGTACTGGAGATGGAACTCAGAGCCTTTACACTGAGGTATACCTCTGTCCCACTTTTTTGTTTGTTTGTTTTGGTTTTTCTGAGAGAAGGTCTTGCTATGTAGTTCAGGCTGGCTTTAAACTGGTAGTGATTCTCCTGCCTCAGCCTCTGAAGTGCTGGGATTATAGGCCTGCACCACCACACCTAGCTACCTGCAGCCATTTTTTATTTTATTTATTTATTTATTTATTTATTTATTTATTTTTATTTTTTTTTCCCCCATTAACTTTATTGGTACATTTTAGGTATACAATACAGTTACATTCATCATTGGGACCTTGTACCATTACATGAGTATCTTGGTTCTTATTTTTTTTCCCCTTCCCTTGCCCTCCCTTCACCCCCTCCACCCTTCCCTATTTGCAAAGACCTTGTTTCCATTTTTTTCCTCTTCTCATATATTTTCCTTTCCCTTTTTTCCCTTCCCCTACCCCTCCCAATTCCCCTGCTCTTTTAGGCCTTTTCTTCCTGTTACACAATATCAGTTATACATTTTTTAAATTACAATATCAAGATCTAGGAGACATTACCACAGATTTAACAGAATTTAAAAGGATATAGAAAGCATATTACAAAAATCTTTTTTGAAATAAATTTGACAACTTCTAAGAAGTAACTTAGAAGACAAATTAATGAAACTAACTCTGGAGGAAATATAAAATTTGAATAGCACCTATTAAAGAAAGTATATTCCTAGCTTGAAAACCTACCTGTATGACAACAGCATAGCCATTTTTTATTTTGAGATGGGGTGTCACTAAATTGCCCAGGCTGAGCCGCAGCTTGGGATTCTCCAGTCTTCCACAGTGCTGGGATTACAGGCAAGAGCCACCATGCCTGGGATGGATGCTGCTGTTTTCATCCTGAAGGTACAAATTTAGAAATGTTTTTCTCTAAGTTAGAATCTACATTTAGTTTAATTATATCAGTTTTTGAAAGTTGGAGTAAAATAGACATACCATAAAATTTGCCATTTTAACAGTGTTTTAAGTGTTTAAGTACAATGGCATTAAGTACATTCATATTGCTGGACACAATATGATCATTTTCACCCCATTGCCTGGTGCCTGTAATTCTAGCTACTCAGTGATGCTGAGACAGGAGGATCAGAAGTTTAAGGCCATCTTGGGCAACTTAATGAGATGATTTCTCAAAATAAAATAACAAATGAAAGGGTCTGGAGTGTAGCTTAATGGTGGAGCACTGGCCTATTATGTGAAAGGCCTTGGGTTGAATCTCCAGTACTGCAAAAAAATATATATATATTTATATTGTTCCACAACCTTCACCACCATCTATTTCTAGAACTTTGTCATCTTCTAAAACATTAACCAATAACTCCCTATTCTCCTCTCCCCCGGCTCCTGGCAACCACCATTCTACTTTGTTTCTATGAATTTGACTCCTTGCATAATTGGAATTATACAATATTTGTCCTGTTGTGATGAGTTTGTTTTGTGTAGAATAAATCTTCAGGGTTCTTTTATGTTGTAGCATATGTCACAGTTTCCTTCCTTTTTAATGCTAAATAATATTCTATCATGTACATCATATATAAAATATATACACATACCACATTTTGTTTATTCATCTATCAGTGGACTCTTCAGGTTGGTTTTGTCTTTTTGACTTTTGTGAATAAATTATATCTGTTTTAAAGTAATTTTAGAAGGCACTGTAAAGGTTTCTTTTTTGTTAACAGCATTTAAATATGGTTTATAAGAACCTAGAATTTTATTTAACTTTCAGTTTTTCATTTTATATTATTTACATTATATAGTACACAATAAAATTCTACGTAAAAGACTTTGTCCTATCATGACAGTAGTTTTTAGTCACATAACCATTTTAAAACAATGTGCCTTCTTTATTTTATTTACTTGTGTTTATTTGGGTTTTCTGAGATGGGGTCTGCTGTTGTAGTTCAGGCTGACCTTGAACTTACTATGTAGCCCAATGATTTTCCCTTGGCCTCCTAAATCCTAGGATTACAGGCATGCACAGTCCCATCTTCCTTCTTTATTTCTGTGAGAATATGTCCCTCATTTATATTCCAAGATATTATCTTAATACTTCTCTAATAACATAAAATATGCAAATATTGCAGAAAGATTGAGAAATATATATAAACAACTTTTATCTTGTAATAACAACTCTTAACTTTTTGATTGTAGTCTTCTGGCACTTTTTCTATACATGTATATGCATACTTATAAATATGAGGTCATACAGTATAATTTTTCTTTCTATTTTTTAGAGTCTCATTATGTAGTCCAGGCTGGCTTTGAATTCAGTATGTAGACTGATTGTGCAGTCCAGGCTGGCTTCAAATTTGAGATCTTCCTGCCCCAGCCTCCTCAATGCTGGGATTATAGGTGTGTGCCACCATGTTTGGCCAGTATAATTTTTATTTCATATATTAGGAATACCTTCCTACTTCATTAAATATTTTTTTCTTCTTCTTTTTTTTTTTTGGTACCGGGGATTGAACTCAAGACCTTGCGTTTGTGAGGCAGGCGGTGGAACCACTGAGCTAAATCCCCATCCTCTCTCTTTTTTTTTTTTAACGTGAGTAATACTTCACTACATATAAAATATTTTGGAGGGTTTTTTGTTTGTTTTTTTGAGACAGGGTCTCACTGTGGCCTAGGGTGGCCTTGAACTCACCTCGTAGCCCAGGCTAGCCTCAAACTTGTGGTAATCCTTGTGTCACTGTAATCCTAAATGCTGGGATTTCAACCACCACACCAGCTGAGGTTTTTGTTTTTTAAGAGACTCACTGTGTTGCCTAGGCCTTGAACTCCTGGACACCAGAGGTCTTCCTGCCTTAGCTTCCCCAGTAGCTGGGATATAAGAATGCCCAATGAGGGAAGTTTCTTTCTTTTTTTTTTTTTTTAATGTCTTTCTCTTCTGTGCTTTTAAGAGGAAAAGAATAGAAGTACAGCAAAAAAACTATAAATTTAAATTATGAAATCAGTCATCTGAACTAATTAAGGTTATATACTTTTGTGTATGTTTATTCTTTTTTTCTAAGCAGGTTGGCAACATTGTACAAATCACCAAGCCAGAAAGGATGCACAGTACCGTTTCAAATCACAGTGAGTATTATTAGTTTAGAGTGGGATTTTGGTATTATTGGGCAGTAATGATTTGAAGAAATTACTTACAAATTGTTTCTGTTAAATTCTGTAGGCCAAAAGCATATTTGAAGACAACGTTTCATGCTTAGAATATCCCCAGAATGGTAGTGTATACAGAATACTGTAGTCACAATTGGACTGAAATTTATTCTTTTTTTTTAGTATGTTTGCAGTACATAATGATTATATTCATTGTGGAGAGTGAGTACATGTGCTGTGTGCTGTAACATAACACATCTCAATTCTTTTTTATTTCCCCTTCCTCTCTACGTTCCCTTTAAAAAAATTTTTGCCAGCATCAGATTCATTTAATTATTTTATAGGTTATTATCAAGTTAATTATTATAAACACAAATTAACAGTTTGACTATCAGGCCAAAAAAATCAAAACACTAAATCCAGGTTCATTTTAAAAAATTTGTTCTTTTTTTTATCCAGGGTTTTAGCTCAGTAGTTCTGCTGCCTGCCTGGCAAGCATAAGGTCCCGAGTTCGATCCTCAGTACCAAAGAAAAATTTTTTTTTTACAAAAAAACATTTTTTTAGTTTATTAATACATGTGTACTGTAGTACATAATGCTCACACTCCTTGTGTGAAGTTGGTCTACGTACATGACACATCTTCATTCGTCTTTACAGCCCCTGTCCTTGCCCTGCCTCCCTCCTCCCCCATCTGTTGATCTCTCTCCCCCTTTTTTAAAGTTCATGTTTGTAGGACGTAATGTTTACAGTCCTTGTGCAGAGTTGGTACCTGCATGAAACACATCCTGGTTCCTTTTTTTCATCCCTTATCCCTTACCTTTCTTCCCCCCCTCCATCTCTTGATTCTCTTCCTCTGTGAGAACAATCTATCTCTCCCTACTTCCTTTTATCTTTTATTTTGGTCTTTATTTTTCTCTAGGTTTCTCATATAGGAGAAACCATGTGATATTTCAGCTGATTTATTTCACATAACATTATAGTCTCAAGCTGCTGAAATGTATGCTTAAGTAGAGGAAAAAGCTGGGGGTGATGACGTATGCTGATAATCCCAGCACTCAGGAGGCTGAGGCAGGAGGATCCTACAAGTTCGAGGCCACCCTGGGCTAGGTAGTGAGTTCAAGGGCAGCCTGAACTGAACTATAGTTAGACCCTGTTGCCCCAAAAGGAGATATTTGGGAGTAGTATATTCCATGGTATTGGTAAAATTTCAGGCTAGCTGGGGATTTAGCTCAGTGGCACCTTGCCTGCCTCACAAGTGCAAAGCTCTAAGTTTGATCCCCAGTACAAAAAAAAATTTCAAGCTATAAGGACTTTTTTTTTTTTTTTTTTGGTGGTACTGGTATTTAAATCCAAGGCATTGGCACTGAGTACATCCCTGGCCTTTCTTTTTTCTTTTTTTTTTCCTTTTTTAAATTTTGAGACAGGGTCTCAATAATTTGCCCAGACTGGCTTTGTTTTTTGTTTTTTTGTTTTTTTGAGACAGGGTCATGATGTGTAGCCCAGGCAGGCCTCGAACTTGCAGTGGTCCTCCTGCCTCAGTCTCCGAAGTGATGCGATTACAGGTGTGCACCACCATTCCTGGCCCAGGCTGGCTTTAAACTAACAATCCTCATATCTCAGCCTTCTAATCTAAGATGCTGGGATTGCAGATGTGCGCCACTGTGCCTGGTAGCTATTTTTTTTTTTTTTTTTTGGTACTGGGGATCAAACTCGGGACTTGGCGCTTTTGAGGCAGGCAGCGGAACCACTGAACTAAATCCCTGGCCCCAGCTAAAGATTTTTAAAGTGAAAGTTGGAGATTTTCAAACAGAAAAATATACCAATATTATTTGGTCTGAGGCTATTATAGATCTATTGTAGCCACCAAATGTAGGGCACTTTAAAATACTAGTTTTCCTGTGAATTTACCCATTTACCATAGAATTTACCATTCTATGGTGTATCCATAGAATACGCCCATTCAGCTGAAATATGCTTATTTACCAACAGAATTACACTGTGTATATCTTGGCATCTCCTTTTTGTAAGGACAAAAAACAGAAATGGAAAGAGATTCTGCAACTGAATTAGCTACTTAAGGTTTTGCACTGACTAGGTGCATTTAAAGTAGTTTATTTATAAAATTTTATTAGGGTATTTAATTATGAAAACAAATTTGTAATGTACTTAAGAATTAGTACAAATTACTTCCTTTCCCCTTTTCCAGCAGAGTTACCATAAAGTTTGTTAGGATTATTATTATTATATGTATTTTTTGTACCAGGGCTTGAATGCAATGTTAGGATTTTTTTTTTTTTTGGTACCAGGGATCCATCTCGGGACCTTATGCTTATAAGGCAGGTGGCGGAACCACTGAGCTAAATCCCCGGCCCTGTTAGGATTATTTTTAAGCAGACTTTTGTTTTTGTCCTTTTATTTGGGGTGGGGTGTCGCTGAGCCTCCTGAGCAACCCTTCTAGTCCTAGAGGACATTTTCATAGTATAGTGTCATTTTTCTGTGTGTATGTATTAGTATAAATAAGGATATACCTGGGCCAGGGATTTAGCTCAGTGGTTTCGCCGCCTGCTGCGCAAGCTCAAGGACCCGAGTTCGATCCCTGGTACCAAAAAATAAAAAATAAAAATAAAAAAAATAAGGATATACCTGTAAAAGCCAGGTGTGGTGGCCCACACCTGTAATCCTAGCGCTCTGAGAGGCTAAGGTAGGAAGATTGAAAGTTTGAGCCAAGCCTGGGGCAACTTAGCAAGATTTTTAATTAAAAATTAAAATATAGCTGAGTGCAAAAGGTCTTAGGTTCAATCCCCAGTACTGAAAAAGAAATAGGGCCGGGGAATTTAGCTCAATGGCACCGCGTGTGCCTCACAAGTGCAAGGTACTGAGTTTGATCCCCTGTATTGCAAAAAAAGAAAAAAAGAAAAGTGTACATAAAATACTCTTACACAATTGTGACTTTGACTATCCAGATGGTTTAGCTGCTTCATTTTGTTTGATAAACTATCTTAACCACAAAATAGCTTTCCTGTCAGTTACTGAAAAATATTTGAAAGACCCAGGTGTGGTGCACATGCTTGAAAACTCTCTGGGAGGCTGAAGCAGGAAAATCGAAAGTTCCAGCCCAGTCAGGGCAACTTAGTAACTTAGCAAGACCTTGGCTCAAAATAAATAATTTTTTTTAAAAAAGGAAAGAAAGAGGGGCCGGGGATTTAGCTCAGTGGTTTTGCTGCCTGCTGCGCAGACGCAAGGACCCAAGTTTGATCCCTGGTAGCAAAAAAAAAAAAGAAAGAGGAAAAAAGGAAGACCAATCTTTATTTTAAATGTCCTTAAAGCATATTTGTATCTTTCTTCATCTTGCAGCCTCAGGGATTTAGAGATGCTGCTGCCACTGCGTGTTCATTGCAAACAGAAGATTCGTTGAATTCCCGGAAACGGTCTCGAGATCCAGATGAAGAACAGTAACCCCAAAAGTAATCTCAAATATAGAAATATATTGATGTTGTGAAGTTGATTGCGTACAAATAGTATAATCATTACTTGAAAATATAAACACACATTGTGGCATGAACAAATCAGGATTATATGAAGTTAATGGAAAAAATAAGGAATATGATTTTCTGAAAAAGGTTTCCTAAAGGGCTGGGAATTTAGCTCAGTGGTTCCGATGCCGGCCTCATAAGCGCAAGGACCTGAGTTCGATCCCTGGTACCAAAAAAAAAAGAACACTTGTGAAAAAGGTTTCCTAAGCACTTTTCTAAAATTACATTTTGCTGTGTTTTCATTTTGAGTCACATTTAAGGAGGTGATAGAGATATTACGTATTCCAAATGTGTAAAGCTAATCTCATGTGGCCAATCTGCATTACTATTCAGACTGGAAAAGTTCTTTGCCAATTGGCCTAGATAATCCTAGGAATAGATTTTTTTTCATATTTTTATTCTCTTTAACTGTAGCTTTGGTAATTCTTTAAAATAACCTGTTTTTACTAAGAGAAGCCATGAATGAGTCAGCATCATTGCGTTTGGTTTTATGGGTAGGTCTGAAATTTTAAGATGACTAAACTGATTTTTTTTTTGGTCTGTTTTTGTTTTTGAGATAGGGTCTCACTATATGGTTCAGGCTGGCCTTGAACTCACTATGTAGCCCAGGCTGGCTGCAAACTCACAACAGTCCTCCTGCCTCAGCCTCCCATGTTTTGGGATTACAGGCATGTGCCACCAGTGCCCAGAAACCAAATCAATTTTAATGGTCTGAGTCCAAAATCTAAGCCATTTAATTTTTGATATTAGTTTATAATGTTAAAGGGAAATTTTGTAGCTGTTATCTAGAAATTGTTTGAAATATATATCCTCCAGAATGCTTAGGTTGGTAAGCCTTCAGTTATTTATTTCTGTTGGGTATTTTGTTTTTTGTTTTTATTTTGGTGTTCTGGGGATTAAAAAAACCAGGGGCACTCTACCACTGCGCTACATTCCCAGCCTTTTTCTTCTTCTTTTTTGAGGAATAAGATCTTGCTAAATGACGCAGCCTGGCCTTGAACTATTAATATTAATGCCCCTGCCTCTGCCTCCCAACTAGTATTTCTACATTTTTGAAGTATGATTTAAGGTTTCATTCTAGAATTCTAAATGTCTTAACATTTTCCTTCGAATCTTTTTTGTTTCTTTCACATTTTTTTTATTAGTGCCTATTAATGAGTTGCATTTTCGCAAATTGGTGCATGCTCAGAATATACTTTGATCATTTTTACCCTACCATTATCCCCTCTGCCTGGCCTCTCTAGTTTAATTTTTTTCCTTAGGGGGTTTATTGCCTATAATATATTTTGATCATATTCATCTTCCTATTACCACCCCATATAACCACTTCCCCTCTCCCAGTATTCCCTTCATCTTGTCTCATAATAGTCTCCCTCCTGCTCTCTTGTCATCTTTTTCAGATTCCACATATGTACTAGGGATCCCCCTTTTTTTTTTTTAAATGTTAGGATCAAACCCAGGGCCTTGCACATGATAGGTAGGTGCTGTACCACTGAGCTACATCCCTAGCCACAGAAAAAGTTATTTAAATAATTGCAAGTTGGGCCAGGGGTGTAGCTCAGTGGTTCTACCACCTGCCTTGCAAGCCCAGGGACTGGAGTTCAATCCCCTGTACCAAAAAATAAATTGCAAGTTATATACTATAACAATGATATCTTCAAGATTTTAGTAAAAAGTGATATTTGCTGTTCCAGGCTTAATACTTAATTTATAAAATTTCTTCAGTGTGACTATTTTGTAGTTCATTATACATAGGATAGCCATAACTTAGCAGGACTGTTTGAGAGTGAAAGCAGGCATTGCTAACAGTGATACCAAGACAGTGGACATAGACCACTGAGTTGATTGCAGTGGTCTAACTTGTAACCCCAGCTCTTTGGGAGGCTGAGGCATGAAGATTACAAGTTTGAGCCCAGCCTGGGCAACTAAGTGAGACCCTGTCTCAAAAGAGGCTGGGGAGGTAGTTCAGCCATAAACCATCCCTGGATTCAATCCCTAGTACCACAAAAAATAAACAAACCAAGATTGTCCCAGGCAAATCAAGCAAGTCATCCTAATTATATAAGACTGATTTTAAATGACTACTTTAACATAGGATGACTTATTGTAACTGTCTTTTAAAGGCTTAAAAATTTTTTACAATGGATATAATCATTAAAATTTTCCTGTCATTTTATATTCTATCTGCTCAAATCATGAAATCAAGAGTTTAGGGTGTTCTAAGTGTTAAATATCTTATTAATAAGCATCAGATAATGTAAGATCTGTCTTTTTTTACTTTTTTTCCCCCAGTGAGTTTATTGGTACATTTTAGGTATAAAATATAGTTGTCTTTTTCTCTTTTTTTTTGTAGTGGTAGGGATCAAATCAAGGGCCTCTTACACGCAAGGCAATCGCTGCACCGCTGACCCACACCCACATCCCCATAACACTGCTTTGAAAGTATGGACCTTAAATGTAGACAGAACCAAGTTTTGTGGGCTTTGCTTTTTTAATTAATTTACTATATTTGTTTATTTGTGGTACCAGGGACTGAACCCAGAACCTTTGTTTTGGGATACATCCCAAACCTTTTTAAAATTTTTATTTTTAGGGCCAGGGATTTAGCTCAGTGGTTCTGCCGCCTGCCTTGCAAGCGCAAGGTCCTAAATTCGATCCCCGGTACCAAAAAAAATTTTTTTAAATTTCTAGACAGGTCTTACTGTGTGGCCCAGGGTGTTCTAAAACTCCTGATCCTCCTGCCTCAGCCTCGTGAGTGCTGGGATTACAGGTGTGTGCCACCATGCCTGGCCCAGATTTTCCTTTGCAACTTTTAAAAAATAAAATTTACATCATGAGAACTTTCAGTGTTGTTTCAATTGCTAAAAAGATTTATTTTTCCAGTCATAAAAATAGATATTTATTATAGATCTTAATCTGCTCAGGCTGCCATAACAAAATAGTACAGTCTGGGTGCCATAAACAACAGAAATTTAGGGCCAGGGATTTAGCTCAGTGGTTCCGGCGCCTGCCTCACAAGCACAAGGTCCCGAGTTTGATCCCCGGTACCAGAAAAAACAACAGAAATTTATTTTCTCACGGTTCTAAAAGCTAGAAGCTTGATATCAGTGATTTCTGGTGAGAGTTTTCTTCCTGTCTTACCAGAGGTCAGTTTTTCTTCAGTAAATATCCATGGAGGCCACCAGAAGTCCTATCCAATCAGGATCCCATTCCTATGAATTCATTAACATTAAGTATGTCCTAAAATTTTCTATCTCAAAATGTACTTGCATATGGGGTAAGAGATTCAACATAATGAGTATCAGGGGAACACAATTTACTCCATATCCACAATAAGGAACTTAAAAAATACATTTTTATATGTATATACAATTTTTAAAAAATCTATGTCATTCTCTAACCTGCTTTTAAGAATTTGAGTATTTCTGGAGCTTTAGTTACTATATTTTTAGTGTTAATAAGCATTTAAATTCCATTTCAAAGAAACTGAATTATGATTTGTATTAGAGTTCTTGTTTATTTGTTTGTTTTTTGAGTCAGGGTCTTGCTATATAGTCCAGGCTGGCCTTGAACCCCCTATGTATCCCGGGCTGGCCTTGAATTCATGGCAGTCCTTCTGCCTCAGCCTCCAGAGTGCTGGGATTTCAGGGATGTGCCATCATGCCTAGCTTCAAAGATTATTATTTCTTAGCTATAAAATGTATATAAATATAAAGTTTTTTCCCCTAGTATTTTATGTTCATTTTAACTCATGATGTGATAGTATACCTATCACCCCCAGTTTATATAAGCTTGCCACTTAATGCTAGACTAATAAATTGATTAAAAGTCTTACTTCCTAGCAGATCAGTAACTGCATCCAGCTTTCATCTTGTTGTTAGACAGTGTGGTCAATTTAAAAGATATGTATTACCTTTACTCCATTTTATGCCACTGCTATGATTGCTCTTTCTGATGATTTGTATACATGCATAAATATTGCTAGAGTTTGGAAGTTAAGTGTTCCCAGAAGTCCATGTGGGTAAAGTCTTGCTTCTCAGGGAGGCACTATGGGATGTGGTGGAAACTTTGTAAGAAGTAGAGCCTATTAGAAAAATGTTTAGGGCAGTCCAGGCAGGCCCCAAAGGGGAATCATGGGTCCTTCGTCCTTTTCTGAGATATGTTCCTGCCATTGCCATCTGGTACCCTCATCCAGAGGCCTAGAAGCAGTAGGTCCCCCTGATTATGAACTAGAACCTCCAAGATTGTGAGCCAGAAGAATTCTTTTCCCATTACAGGTTGATTATCTCAGGTGTTTGTTACAGTGATGGAAAAACTGATTAGCAGAAATATATTTGCACACATACATGGAAAACATTTCCAGTGATTTTGTCACTTCTGTGTTTTACCATGTCTTGGCCACAGTTAATACAACACAGGCCATTAATATAATCTGTGCAAAAAATTATTTGTAGTGGGAAAACAAATACTAGAAATTTAAATTTTGCTCTGGTTTGAGAAACCCTTTCATGCTTTTGGAAAATCTTTGTTTCTTTGGAAATTATTAAAAGTATAAAGTACAATAAAGTATAGAATTAAAAGCTCACACAACCTAATCATGGTTTTGTTTTATTTTTAGGATGAGAACTTCACATTTCAAATGCATTTATTATAGAACTCTCTTGCTAGAGGAAACCTTAGAGATCATGCTACCAGTATCTTTAACTGATCATAAATTTATACTTTCTCAAAAGTTGATATTGTATATATATTTTTTCTTTTTGCTACTTCTATTTTTGGTTTTTACAAATCTTTTCTTGAAGTTTTTCAGAGTATTATGACTTATGGCTTTAATTTTGGAGGTACATAAACATATTTAAGCCTATAGTGCTTTATTATTTTTAAGACATTTTTACATCATTTTATTTGGTCCTTCTAGCACCTCTGTAAGATAGATGTGATAGGCTGGCCTGTCTACTTTTCTTTCTTCCTTCTTTCTACCCACCTGTGTATCTAATGCCTAAAACTATTGCTTATTGAATGAATATATTTCAAATAAGATTTAGGGTAAATTCTGTTTTCAAGTCATCAGATAAAAATATTTCTATTTGGTCATGCATAGGATGGTATTTCAGAGCACTTTTTGAAATCTATAATACTCTGGGGTTTTATTTTTACATTTTTATTTTGGCAAAATAGTTATAACAAAATTTGCCATTTAAACCATTTGTAAGTGTACAATGAAGTTAATGTTTATTTTATTCAGAATATAATGCAACCATTACCACTGTTTTTTTCAGTGAGGGTCTCCCTAAGTTTTCAGGTTGCCCAGGCTGCCTCAGCCTCCCTGAGTACTGGGATTACAGGTGTATGGCCACCAGGCCCTAATCCATTACCAGTCTTTCTAAAACTTTTCATCACCCCAAATAGAAACTATACATGTTAAACATTAACTCCCCATTGTCTTTTCCCCTCGGCTCTTAATAATTTCTCATCTACTTCCTATTTTTATGAATTTGCCTATTGTAATTCATATAAGTGGAAGCATACAATATTTTTTCTTTTGTGTCTGGATCATTTCACTTGGCATATTTGTAGTATATGTGCTTCCAAAGCGAGCCCTGATTGGCATATTTCTAAAGTTCTTCCACATTGTGTCATGTATAACAAATCCATTCCTTTTACAGGCTAAATAATATTCCATTTTATGTTTATACTACATTTCATTTATCCATTCATCTGTGGGTAGACATCTGGGTTATTTCTAAAGTGTTATTTGTTTTTGTTATTTGTTTTTTGAGACAGAGTCTCACTATGTAGCACCAGGTTGCCTTCAAACTCATGGTTCTCCTGCCTCAGTCTCCTGAGTGCTAGGATTAAAGGTGCGAATGACCATACCTAGCTCCTTCCCCCCTTTTTCTCAGTACTGAGAATTGAACCCAGGGACTTATAGGTAAGTGCTGGAGAGCAAAGCTACATCCCCATCCCTGTGTATTTTCCTTTGAGATAGGGTCTCCTGCAGTTGCTAAGGTTGGCCTCACACTTGTAGTCCTCTTGCCTCAGCCTTCTGAGTAGTTGGGATTACAGACTTTTGCCACCATGCCCAGCTCTAAAGTTATTTCTCTTGTTAGTAATATTCTTACTGAAATGTTTACAATTAGTGATAAAATTAGAGTTTAATGTGGTAAAATAATGTCAGGACTAGAGTTAGAAGACCTGTATTCTAGTTGAGACGTTAACAAGTCACATTAGTTTTGGCACCTTTATTTTCTCATGTAATTTTCTTGTTTTTAAAACAAGATTGCTTAAATTTATTGCTCTATGCTTGCCTCAAGTGTGCAAAAGCCCTGGGTTCTCTCCCCAGCTCTACAAAGTAAATGTAAAAGAACAAGTTCATTGGTGTGTTTTGCTTTTGCAAACATTATTAAATATTCACTTAAAATGATCAGTACTGGAAATAGTGAAAAGTATGACATTTATACATTTTTATTTTCAAGATCAATAATGCTAAGGTTCCCATTTTGATACATTGTATTTCAGTTTTGAGACACAATGTTGAAATGTTCTATTGCTTTAAAAAAAAACATTGAGTTGCTGAAGAGAGGCTGGCTGCTCATAATATGTATTTTTAGTTAACATCAGTGCCTAAATTTACTGTTACTGTTAAAATTTACAGAACATTTTGCTCCCTCAGAACTGATTTTGGCATAAAACATGTTGACAAGATTTCATGTATTTTTGACCGAAGTATATTCCCTTGCTTGTTTTCCATTTTAGTTCACCATTAACATAGCCCTTTCTATGTTTCAGCTATCTGACTTTCATTATGTATAATAAGATGTGAGTTTTAAAATTAAAGACATTATTACTCAGGTTGTGATTTTATATGTAGCTTATTTAAAAATTTTTTTTTGGTATCGGGGTTTGAACTCAGGACCTTGTGCTTTCGAGGCAGATGGCGGAACCACTGAGCTAAATCCCCGGCTGTAGCTTATTTTATGAGGATATCAAAGTTGGGTTCACTCAGAAGGGCTTGAGAACTCATGGAAATTATGTTCCACCTACTTTCAAAATACAAAGCTACAAGGTAAAAGACAAGGCAAATGTAAAAAAAATTTACATCAAGAGTTCATATAAATCAAGGCTCAAAGGAAGAAAAAAAACCACAATTGATTATATAACCATTACCGGTGTGTTGTTTAACAAAAAAGTTAGCCAGGCATGGTTGTGTACACCTGTAATCCTCGTTCTCAGGGAGGTTGAGGCAGGAGGATCAAAAAGTTTGAGTCCAGCCTGGGCAACTTAGCAACTGAGTCCTAGTCTCAAATAAAAAATAAAAAGGGCTGGAGATGTAGCTCCATGCAATGATCCTGGGTCTAAGCCCTGGTACTACCTCCCCAATTTCTTTTTCTGTTTTTTTTTTTGGAGATAATATTGTCTTTTTATTTGGTGAGTCAAAATTTTAACAAGGTTTGTTGAAGAAAAAAGAAATGTGTGATTTTTCCCTCTAGAAAATCATATAAGGAGTACTGAAGTTTGAATTAGAATGGATTAGCACTATCCAGTTTAGGATTTACCTTATTAAGCCTTATTGTTTTTCCTGGTGCATTTCTTTCTTTCTTCCTTTTTTTTGGTACAGGGATCGAACTCGGGTCCTTGCGCTTGTGAGGCACGCGGTGGAACCACTGAGCTAAATCCTCATCCCTTTCTTTTCTTTTTTAATTTGTTAATGTTTATTTATTTACATATTTATTTTGTAGTACTTGGGATTGAATTCAAGCGTTCCATTCTGAGCTGTATCCCCAGCCCTTATTTTTTGAGGCAGGGTCTCAGTAAATCACTAAATTTCTCAGGTGGAATTCAAACTTGGAATCCCCCTTCCTCTGCCTCTGAGTGCTACTGGTATGCCACCATACCTGGGTTTTTTAAAATTAAGGGATATTTGTACAGGATTTTTTTTTTGGTACCGGGGATCGAACTTGGGACCTTGCCGCTTGCAAAGCAGGCGCCGGAACCACTGGGCTAAATCCCTGGCCCAAAAGCACTAGATTTTAAAAGTCAATGACAGTTATTTACCTCCCATCCCTTAGTCATTCAGTTCCTTTTTAGGAGGCAACAGTCATTATCAGTTTCCTATATGATCTTATAGAGCTATTCCATGTACCTAAAATATATTTTTTATCCAACACCATCTTCTTAAATAATACACACACAGAACCTTGTTTTTGTGTCAATGTAGAAATTTCTCATGTTAAAAAATTGATGTGTAGCATTCCATTGAATGAATGTGCTGTTGCTTAATCATTTATTGATAGATATTTAGGCTAATTCAGCTCTTAATGAAGATACAAAGAATTGATATGAATGTATATATATTTAACAGTGTGATAGATTTTGCCAAACTATCCTCTAGGAATATTACTAGTTTACACCTGTGGTGTTTTAGAGTGGCTGTTTTTCAACACTCCTGATCACATGTTATTTGGGGTTTGGTTTTTTTTGCCAGTTTGATACTTTCCTTAAGAATGACATCTCATAGTATGATTTTTTTTACATATTATTAGTTGCATTAGATTATCTCAACTTGATGTCATTAAGTATTTGAGTTGTAATGAACTTTTTTCTGATTGCATGTGTATTAATTACCAACCTGTTGGTAATTATATCTCCCAATTAAAGTCAGATCAGTGCAAATGTCTGGTCTCACTGGAATTAATAGCGCTCACTGTAAATTCTTATGTTGCCCTTGTGGTTTTTATATACTGGATTCTTATAGACTTGTTAGCACTAGTTAATATCCGTCCATGTAATTAAAATTTTAATACATATCTCTGAAGCTTCAAATTCAAGTTCCTGAACTTTGTCATAAATTCATGAAGCTAAACATTGTTATAGTAGTTTAAAACAAATTCTTTGACACTTCTCCCCTCGGGACATGGGGTGTGTTATGTGCTTTTCTCTTGAGTCTAAAAGGGGCCTATTTTACTTCTTTGACCAATACAGTGCCATAAAAATAATGATACTAACTTAGGAAATTAAGTCAAACAATCACTGGAACACCCACTTTTTTTGTTTTATTTCTTTTGTTTTTTGGGGGGTTTTTTTGGTACCAGGATCAAACTCAGGAACTTGTGCCTGCAAGGCAGGTGCTGGAACCACTGAGCTAAATCCCCAGTCCTGTTTTATTTTTTTGAGACAGGGTCTTGCCATGTAATTCAGACTGGCCTTGAACTCACTATGTAGCCCAGGTTGGCCTCGAACTCATGACAGTCCTCCTACCTCAACCTCCCAGGTGCTGGGATCACAGGTGCGCGCCACCACGCCCAGGTGGAATGCTCAGTTTTGAAGTCCTAAGCTACCATGTAAGAAGTCTGCCTATCCTAAGGCCATCATGTTGGAGTTATTATGTGCAAGCATTTCAGTTGACAGCCCTAGCTGTCAACAGCTAACATCAACTGCTAATTTAGCAACACAGTGAAATTAGTATCTTGAGAAATATTCACATAGTAGTCTTTTTCTACTCTTTTTTTTCAATAGAAATGAAAAATGTGTAATGTAAGTGATCTTGGACATCCAGCCCAGTTGAACTTGTAGGTATTCTATCCCCAACTGCTGTCTAAGGGCAACCTCCTGATGGCTGCAAGTGAGCACCACCTGTTTGAGCTCAGTCAACTTATAGAGCTGTGAAAAGTAGTAAAATGTCTTTTGTTTTAGCCACTAAATTTGGGGGTAGTTTGTTTTGCAATAGTGCATAACTGGCACAGCCATTAGAGAGCTTCTCTGAGTGCATTGCCAGATCTTAACCAAACTGTATCTTCAGGTACCTTCTTTGTTTTTGTTTTTTTTCCAGTACTGGGGATTGAACTCTGGACCTTGTGCTTACAAGGCAGGCTTGATGCCATTGAGCTAAATCGCGGGCCCTTCAGGTACCTTCTTTGAATCTCAGACCTTGTCTCATGTCCTTTTTGCTTCTTCTGTACACCTTTATCCCACTGAGACCATTCTTTTTTGTACTCTCATTGGCTCCCACTGTCCAACTGATTCTACCCTTTAATCTCTTCTTCAATCCATCCTGCACTCACCTGAAAGAATATTTGGATATTAAATTTTCTTAAAACATGGTTTTTAGCCAGGCCTGGTAGCACATGCGTGTAATCCTTGCATTCTGGAGGCTGAGGCAAGAGGATCACTGAGAGTTCACAGCCAGCCTAGGTTATATAGTAAGTTCAAGGTCAGACTTTATCTTAAAAAAAAAAAAAAGTAGTTTTTATCATGTTTCTTTCCAATTCAGTATTTTTTCCAATACCTGAAAAAAATAATTATAATTTTATCTTCCTAGTCTAATCTTGAACATTGGCCCATAGGCTTTATACCTGAGTCATGAAATGATCTGAGCATGGTGGCACATGCCTTTTAATCCCAGCACTGGGGAGGTTGAGGGAAGAAGATTTCAAATTCAATATCTGCTTGGCCTACATAGTGAGTTTGAGTTCAGCCTGAGCTGCATAGCAAGAGTCTGTCTCAAAAAAAATAGTCATGAAATTATTGGTGTATATTTTCAGATATACAAAATTTAAGAATTTTATGAGATAAATTAAAGGATATTTGAAAAATAATTTTATGTATGAAGGGCCAACATTTAATTTGTATAAATATTTTGATTTTCTGCCTTTGTGCAAATAATCACATATATTATTTAAGTATATAAAAATTCATCAAATCTTAATCCTCACCTTGCAGAATTGCTGGAAATCATGTGCTATATCGGTGCCAGATAAGTCATTTACAGATCACTCTTTCATAAGGCAGCAAACCATTTCATATGCCCAGATCTTTTCCTTCCTGGAAAAGATGCATTGTGTCAGCATGGTTACCATGTGTGGTAATTGATAATGTCTGTGCCACATGGCTTATTTCTACCCTTGTCCAACACAGCTATTCTACCACCTATGATTACCATATGTTACAGCACTCTAGGTTAATGGAATCATTTCCATCTTCCCTTCTAGTCACAAATGTCACTGTGGCTCAGTTCCATCAGCTCAACTAATAATAAAGTATTCAGTACTATCTAAGTATGCAAAATACCTTTATGAAGAGTTTTTATATTTTATATTTATGTCCTTTTTTTTTTTTTTTTTTGGTACCGGGGATCAAACTTGGGTCCTTGCACTTGCAAGGCAGGCACCTATATATCCTTTTTATTTATTTATTAAAAATTTTTTAATGGTTTTTTTGTATTTTTTACGTTTTGTTTTGGAACTGGGGATTGAACTCTGGACCTTTCGCTTTTGAGGCAGGTGGCCGAACCACTAGTTAAATCCCAGGCCCATTTTTTTTTTTTTTCTTTTTTTTTTTTTGGTACCAGGGATCAAACTTGGGATCTTGTGCTTGTGAGGCAGGCAACAGAACCACTGAGCTAAATCCCCGGCCCCATCCCAGGCCCATTTTAATGGTTTTTTGAGACAGGATCTTGCTTTGTAGTTCAGGCTATCATTGAACTTACTTTTGTGTGGTTTTTTGTTTTGTTTTGGTACCGGGGATTGAACTCGGGACCTTGCGCTTTTGAGGCAGGCGCCAGAACCACTGAGCTAAATGTCCAGCTATCAACTTACTTATTGAACTTACTACATAGCCTAGGCTGGCCTTGAACTTGAGGTGATCCTTTTGCCTCAGCCGGCCAAGTGCTAGTATTACAGGCATGTGCCACCACGCCTGGCTCCTTTTTATTTATTGAAAAAGCAGCCTGTTTATTTGTTTGTCTGACTGTTTGCTTTTTGAGTTAAGGTTTTACTAAGTTGTCTAGGCTAGACTTGAACTTTTTTTTTTTTTGTACCAGGGATTGAACTCTGGTCCTTGTACTTGCGAGGCAGGTGTTGAAACCACTGAGCTAAATCCCCAGCCCTGGTTTGAACTTTTGATCTTCCTGTCTCAGCCTCCCAGAGTGCTGGGATTACAGGCTTGTACCACCAGACCCAGTTACCTTGCTGGGGTTTTTTGTTTGTTTTTGTTTTGTTTTGTTTTGTTGGTACTGGGGATCGAACCAGTCCTTGAGCTTCTGCAGCAGGTGACGAAACCACTGAGCTAAATCCCCGGCCCTACCTGGCTGTTTTTGATGAATGCTCCAAGTTAGAAATGGGCATCTGCTGACTAGAATAAGGGCATGATCTGTATTATTCTGAATTTTTACATATATTTATCCCAAGCAAATATATAAAGATAATTAAAAATTAGACTATAATAAAGGTAAAAATTTTACCACCATATGAAGCACTTTCTGGTTTTTTTAAAGTGAAGACTAGTAGCAAAATGTTGACGTGGATTTTTTTAGTAACGTCAGTTCACTCTAGAAAAGTCATTATAGAAGGAATGTGCCACATGTTAGCCATTTATAGTACCATCATCAAATTCCTTCAACCCCTGCCCTAATCCTCTTTTGTAAGGATGTCATAAGTCCAAAAATAATTTTGGTTGTTCAGAGAACTCTGATAGGAAAAAAGATTGTTATTAATGGTTAAAACATGAAGAAAAAAGATCAGAAACCATTTTGGAGACTTAATAGTGCATGTTGGCCTGTTATTACTTTTGAAGTGAATTTTAATTTTGACAGCTTTGGACTGTTGCTGCAGTATGGTCAGTAATGTATTACTATTAGCCAGTAATACAAAAGAATAAAAAATTATTATAGCAGTAATGTTTTGGCAGCAAATAGGATGATTTAAAACTATATTGTTGATCTAGGAAGTAGAAGAGGAAGTTCTTATTTGAAAACATTTCTGTGTGCTCAGTTTATTCAGTTCTCAGGTAATCTGTTCCCTACTGGTCAGTTTGACAACATAATTATATTAATATTTAAAAAGTTTATATATTAATTACCCTTTAATTCAATTTCTTTTCTTTTTCCTTTTTTTTTTTTAGTGGCACTAGGTATTAAACCCAGGGGGTTGTGCATGCTAGACCAAGTGCTTTATCACTGATTTATACCACCAGCCCCCTGATTCAGTTTTTTGTTTTGTTTTGATTTTGTTGTTTTTTGAGACAAGGTCTTGCTATGCAGTTCAGACTGCCCTTGAACTCACTATGTAGACTAGGCTGACGAACTCGCAGCAATCCTTCTGCCTTAGCCTCCCAAGTGCTGGGATTACAGGAATCAGTTTTTGAAATATGAATTTTAAAATACTTTTAAAAAATTGTATTGGGAATTGAACCCAGGGCCTTTTATTTTTATTTTTCATTTTGAGATAGGGCCTTGCTAAATTATCCAGTCTGGTCTCAAACTTATGATCCATCTGCCTTAGCCTCCCAAAGTGCTGGGATTACAGGTGTGCACCACCACGCCTGGCCAAAAAGAGGAAAAAATATATATATATTTTTGGTACCAGAGATCGAACTCAGGACCTTGCACTTGCGAGGCAGGCTTGGGCACCACTGAACCAAATCCCTGGCCCTGGTACATTATTATTAACCAAAGCCCCTGATTTATATTAGGGTTCACTCTTGAACATTTTATGGGTATACTGACATTTAGCCACCATTTGAGTAATACCAAATAGTTTTTACTGCCCTAAAAATTTCCTGTGCTCTGCCTATCCTCCCCCTACCCCAAACCCTGGCAACCTATCTTTATTTTAGAAATAATTTACCACTAACTTTCCTTCAAGTAAACTCAGTGTCCCAGGAGCACCTTTATCGACTGAAACATACTTTAACTTCACTTTAACCCATTTATAGTTGTATATAATCTACTTTATATTTTATTTATTTATTTATTTATTTATTTTTTTAGACAAGGTCTCGCTATGTATTCCAGGCTGGCCTCGAATTTGTGGTAATTCTCCTGCCTCAGCTTCCCGAGTGCTAGGATTACAGGTGTGCGTCACCACATCTGGCTACTTTGTAGTTCCTTAAGATACTGTTACCATGTCTGTCAGGATCTGATTAAGAAAGTACAGAAGTGATGGTTACAGAAGTGGTGGAAGAGCTACAAAAGAAGGGTTATTGGATTTTTAAAAGTTTAGGAAGCTGGAAGCTGCTACTATACCTAAATATAGGATAAATATAGGAAGATGATATTTCTAGAGCTTGTGCTGAGGTCACTGGCCAAAGCTAGAATCACAGTGGACACATTCGGTAGGAGCAAGACTACAAACGAAATGCAGTAGGTCTCAGGGCTTTGATAGGGAACAGCAACTCAGCCAGACCCTGTCACAAAATAAAAGATAAAAAGGACTGGGGATGTAGCTCGGTGGGAAAGCCCTGGGTTTAATCCCCAGTCCTGCTAAACAACAAAAGAAGAAAACTAAACGTTTGTATACAAGTAATTTTGTGCTTGGGTTTACATGTTGGACATGTTTTTTCTTATGGGTAAGTATCTGGGAAAGGAATTGCTAGGTCATCCAAGAAACTGCCAAACACAACAATTATTTTTAACATTGTAAATACTGCCATGAATATCCATGAAAGGACATGGTGCATTTCCTTCAAAGAGCTAAGGGTTAAAAAGACAATAACTTTTATAAGAAAATGATCTCAAAAAATCTCAATAATGTTAAATATCACTGATACACACTATGCTTTTCATAACTTGATTTTTTAAAATAGTAAGTTAAGAGACTAAGGTATAAGAGGAGAGGAAATGAAAAGGAAAGCAAAGTGTTGAAAAATAATGACTAAAAAGACTTTTTTTTGAAGGAGGAGAGGTTTAATTTTGTTCACGTAAAAAGACTTGACAATGGCAAAATCATCCTACATAGCTGCTCTGAGTTTCTGTCAGCAACCTTCTGGCAAAGCTACTTTGTCAAATGGATGCATTAGAATCTATATTGATCTTTGTGAAAGAATATCTTTATTAATATCAGCAAACACGCCTCTCACTTATAGCAATATAGAGATGTGGGCTTTTTCTTTTACTCTTAGAAGTAATGTTTTACCAACATAGATCACTTCCCTTTGATATGTGGGTTGAGTCATAAATTAATGTCACAAATAAATGTCACCTAGGTGAGGGAGGCAACTACATTATGAAATAGGAAGGTGTAGCTTGATATGAATTGTTGCAGCTGACAGCTATGTACTCTTGAACAAAATGTCATCATGTCAAATTCTGGGATATTAACAGTTGTTGGAATGTAAAACTGTGGACATTTAGGTTTGCAGCCTAAAAAGTTTTGTCAGTCTTTCTAGACATGAAATGGAAACAAGCAGGTGTATTGAAAACAAAGGCAAATGAGTTTAAAGGCTTTCTTGGCATCTCATAGAGAAATTGCTTTACACTGGTGGTGTTTTAAACAAAACACATAAATACATTTAGCTTGTCTGGAAACAGACTTATTGGGTCTTTCCATTTACCTCTGAGGAAAAAAAAGTTACAGAGAAATGCATTACCCACTATATACTTTTTATCATGTATTATTTAATCTTAAGTGAAGAGAGAACATGGAACTATTTTACATGATACTATGATGTACATTAGCGAGCTCAACCCATTTAATCTTAAAATAACAGTATCAGGTCAGGGATTTAGAATACAGTATTATGTAGAAAACAGTTGGTGAGGAGTCTCCCTCTTCTGCCATTAATAACTGACTGGAAAAAATAATAACTGACTGGAAATGCTATTTCAGACCCTAAATCTAACTGAAACCCATCCAGAAACAATAACTGGAGAGGATGGGGTAGATAATATGCAAGAACATGTTTTTCAAAGTAGAGAATCACTATGTTTTTGCTGAATTATATGTTGCCATGGACATGGCAGTATGCAGTAATGATACTATCATCTAAACAGCTGTATAACAACACAGCTTCTCCTTCCACCCCTCAGTGAGGCTTGAAAATAATAGGTTTGTGTGTAGTTTGGTAAGAAATTAGAATTATTTTAAGTCATTTCACTTCCAGCCTAGGAAAGAAAAAGACACAGGAGAGGATGGGAAGAAAAGCAAACAAAATACTATAGAAAGACCGTGCAATACAGAATGATATACTTTATGGAGAAACTCAAGAGGGAAGTGTTGGTGTGATGGAAAACAAATGGGTGAAATTTACTAAATCTCAGTCATGGGTCGAGTCCGCATTGCATCACTTGCTTATGACCTTGAGCAAAGTCAATATTTGAAAGTTTAGAACCCTCATCTATAAAACAATCACAATGGTAATATCCTCTATCTGAAGGGCTGTGGTAAAGTTGAGGAGTGAGAACAACTTGTAAACTACAAAGTCCTAAACAAATAAGGCATATGGACACAAGGCACTGTTGCATTTTTAGAGACAGGGAAGAGTTAAAGGAAAAGGGTCTAAAAGCTGTTGGGAGACTAACCTGAGTTTTAATTCTAGTTGCATGGTTGGAAGTTTTGGAAACTTGATGCAAGTAGTTTACTCTTAATTTTCTTTTTTTCTTTGAGAAATGATGATAATAGGATCAAATGGGAGAACCTATGTAAAGGAACCTCCCACTGGGTCTGTGTTTGTGGGCTTCCCACATCCCAACCGAGTGCCATCAACGAAAAGTATTTACAGTATGGTATCTTTCAGCCTTATACGCAAAGGCAAGTTATGAACAGATAAACTTAAGTAAATGCAATCCAAGTGGGAACCAGTAGTTTGACTGGAAAATGTCTTATTTCCTTATTAACGTTGAAACTAGGGTCTTCATCCAATAAAGACATTCAGAGTTGGAGAGCAAGCGTGTCCTGTGTCCCTACGACTCGGAGGACTCGTTGGGAGGGACCCTGAAATTCTTAATTAGAACTGGTTGCCATGGTGACAGTCTCCAGGCAGCGTGGGCTGAGCTCTCCGTAGGGATAGAGGGTGGGCCGCTGCTGGACCCTGCGCGCGCTCTCGCCACCAACTTTCCCTCCAGACCCGATACGGGTAGCGCGCTCCGCCCCTGGGCCGCGCACGTCCGTCCTCGGTGGCGCGCACGCCTGCGGGAGCCCTCTCCAAGCAACCTAGTGCTGATCGCTCTTGCTGGTGCGGCAGTTAACTGCCGTAGCGGGAGCCCGAGGCTCAGAAGCAGCCCCCCCACCCCCCCTTCGTGGACTTCCCCACCCCTTTCCCGGTCAGCCTCGGGGCATGAGCAGCGATGGCCGGCTGCAGCCCTGAGGAGAAAACTTACCGGCGCTTCCTGGAGCTATTCCTTGGCGAGTTTCGCGGACCGTGCGGCGGCGGCGAGCCAGAGCCGGAACCCGAACCGGAGTCTGAGCCCGAACCTGAACTGGTAGCTGCTGATGCGGCCGAGGCTTCGGTCGAGGAACCCGGGGAGGAGGCGGCCACGCTAGCCGCGACGGAGGAGGGAGAGCAGGAGCGAGACCCAGAGCCCGAAGAGGAGGCGGTAGAAGAGGAGGCGGTGACGGCGGCCGAGGGCGAGGAGGAGGCGGCGGCGGCGGCCCCGGGGCACTCGGCCGTGCCACCACCGCCGCAGCCCCAGCTGCCACCGCTGCCCCCACTCCCGCGGCCGCTGTCGGAGCGCATCACCCTTGAGGAGGTGGAGGGCGAGAGCTTGGACCTGTGTCTGCAGCAGCTCTACAAATAGTTAAGTAGCGGGGCTGGGCAGGGGGCTGGGGGTAGCGCTGTCCCCGTCGCGCTGGCCGCGCTGGCCTCGGACGAGGCTCCATCGGCCCCACAACTGCTGCTGTCTTTTCTGTTCCTCAACCCCCCACCACCACCTACAGCGCCTGAGGGCGCCCACGCCCGCCTCGGTCCGCGCCTCCCACCTGGCCCTCCCGCGGGCCTCGGCCCCTTCTTCCCCTTTCCCGCCGGCCCGGCTGGCTGCTGCTTAATCCACTTCCCACACCCATTCCCATCTCCTCCCGGTCTTGAAATCTCTCTTCTTCCTAGTTCTCTTCTTCTGTCCTGGAGGTTTCCTCCAAATCTAGTTTGATCTTTCCGGGACCAGGTCCGTTGTTTGGCGGCGGAGACGCGACTCCTTTCTAGACTGGGCTGAGATGCATCCTGCGTGATCGCAGCAGTGATGGTAATACCGGCCCCATATCCGGATGAGAAGCGACCCGACTAGGTTTTCCGGCAGGCATTCAGTATGGAAAGTGAAGATCTCCTTAGACGGCTTAATGTACAGGACACTAGTATTTTAGTTCGGAGACATTTGACAGCTCATAAATGAGGGAGGTGGGAAAGAATTGGGAGGGAAGGGTAAGTAAAATTTTACCAAGCAACCCTTCAGGTGAACAGACAGAGTCTAATTCGTTAAAGTGGAAAGTCAGGCTGCTTTGATAAAATTGCAATTAGGTGCATTATTTTCAGTCCATTAAATAAATGGGGTGGGAAGTGAGGGGAAAGCAGATGGCTTAGCTACACAGATGAAAGTCTAAAATAGAAAGGTCACGACTTTGCCTTTCATCTCAGTTCTGGTTTTTATGAGCTTGAAATAGAAACGGTTTGCAGTTGCGTTTCTTTCTAAATGGAATTGTTCAGAAATGACAGGAGAATACTAAGAAGTCTCAGAAAATGTTGGTAATCCTGAAAATTCTTTTGCTATTCAGTTAATACAGTAGTTGCAATGTAAGGTGTTACTCTGACCACTCAGAAAGTTTACTACTGCAAGAGTCACTGCAATTAAGTTCAAAATCACTTCTTGGATTTTCTCAAAAGCCCAAATAAATGAAAGGCCTGGAAAATAAAGCTGTTCTGTCTTCATCCATCCTAATAGAGACCTGATCAAACGATTCTCTTCTTAAAGCAGCAGCTTGTCAAAATGAAAAAACATTTAAACAATTTGTAGAAGAGGACTGCATTAGTGTCTCACACTTTATAAGCTATCTAAAATTTAATTTTAAAATATTGTTCAATTACCATGAGAATAATGCTTTTTGGAAAATGTAAAAAATAAAATGGCGTGTAATAACACCACCAGGGATAAACAGCCTTAACATTTTAAAATATTTCTCCCTAGTCTTTGCAAACTGTCATAGAAAAGGGCTTATGAAATGTCATTTTTTACACTATTTAAAGACATTAAAGCTTCCTCCTTAAAATGAAATGGAAATATTTACCAAAGTGAAGGAATTTATCTCAGCATCAGATGAGTGCTGTACTATTTTGACACTTTTTTTTTTTTTTACCTTAACTAGTGCAGCAATAGAATTGAAGGGACACAATTTAAACACTGACAAATGTTCAAGAGAGAGAAGAAAGTCATTAGTTTGGTATAACCCTGTACATTTGCTATTAAATAAGTTTTTAAAAAATTAAACCTATATAAAGATGATGGTAAGAAGATGTGTGTTTTTTCATGTGGAAGGGAAATAAGATTAATTCTGATGCATATATAAACTAGAAAAATCATTCAAATGATAAAGTGGTCATCAAATTCAGAAGTTTGGATTTGAAATAAAACTAGCAAAATTAAAGTTGGACTACATGATTTCACCTTTAGTCAGAGGTTTCATATAAAATCAGATTTTATACTGTGTTTGGTATAGATGCCATTAATGTATTTTTATTCAGATATAAAATGGCTGGCTTATTTATGTAGAGTATCTTTAAGGTCCTTACCAGATTAAAAAAAATTTTTAAAGATATACTTTGACTCTTTTAATTTTTATTTTATTTATAAGAGAAAAACATATGAGTTAGTCTGGAAGACTTAATACTGGATGACTATGGGGATAGATCATTTGTTCAGACATTTCATTTTACAGATTCAGAAAAGACATCATATACAAATGATTCCAACATTTGTCAGTATAATCTCTTAACCTCAAAACTGACATAGTTGTAATGTTGGTTTCTGAAATTCTTTGGAAATACTCAGAAATAATTCTTATTACAAATACGTTGGAATTGCTTATTTGGGGAAAATGAAGTTTGTTTTTTTTCCTAAATATTTTCACAAATACCCACCAGTCTGTTTATTTTGAGAATTATTAGTAGTCTTTTAAAAGTTGTCATCCCTGGGTTGGGAAAGTGGCTCCGTGGTAGAGCAATGCAAGATGCTGGGTTCCATCCTGAGCACCACACACACACACACACACACACACACACGCACGCACACACACACACACACACACACATACAAATACATTGTCATTCCTATCAAATGGTGCTAAAATTCCTAAATGAAGTTACCTGAACTATACTATATGGTCACCAGTTTGATAGTTGAAACTAAGGAAGAAAACAACACTGTATTTAATAACAGTTTTATGTGTAAGTTCTCTAATGTATTTAGTGAGGATTTTAGAAATATGTATGGCTATTAAATGGATTGAGGGTCTCTGAAGAAAATAAAGGCAGTGCTTAATACTGTTTTATGTATAGACTGATTAAAATTTTACTTTGTGTGTTGGAGGTGTAGTTCAGTGGTATAGTACTTGCCTAAAATTTTTTTTTTCTTAAAAAAAAAAGTATCATAGTGACATTTTCTCAATGTTTCAGAATAGGAACAGCTTCTTTTTCCTTTTTTTTTTTTTTTTTTTTTTTTTTACCGGGGATCAAACTCGGGTCCTTGCGCTTGCACAGCAGGCGGCGAAACCACTGAGCTAAATCCCTGGCCTTTTTTTTTTTTTTTTTTTTTGAGACAGTGTCTTACTATGTAGTTCAGGCTAATCTTTAGCTCACTTTGTGGCCCAGGTTGGTCTCAAACTCAGGAAAGTCCTCCTGCCTCAACTTCCTGAGTGCTGGGATTACAGGCATATGCCATCATGCCTGGTCAGGAACAGCAGATTAAAATAAGCAGTTACAAGTTGTTTCTTTGGGATTTTGTTTTGTTTGGTTTTGGTTTTTGAGTCAGGGTCTTGCTATATAGTCTAGGCTGACCTCAGACTCCTCCCTTAGTCTACTGAGTAACTGAGATTGCAGACTTGTGCCACTATGCCTGGCCAGGATTGTTTTTTTGTGTTTTTTTTGTGGTACTAGGGATTGAACCCCAGGGCTGGAACATGTGTGACAAGTGCTCTACCACTGAGCTACCTCCTTAGCCTAAGGATCAAAGTTTAAATAAATAAAATATAGTTATAATTGGTAATTTTAAAGTTTTTCAAGCAATTTAGTGAGACTTTATCTCAAAAAATAAAAAAGGCTGGGGATGCAGCTCGGTGTGAAGGGCCAGCATTCAATCCCTAGTGTGTCCACACATGCACAAAATTCAGAGCAATATTTAGGGTAAAATTGTTTGCTTTTCAACTTCAAAATGGGCACTTATACTTAGATATTCCTCTGCTATATTAAACAACAAGTAACATTTTGGAAGAATAAACTGTCAAAAATTCAAAAATTCATTTGAATGAAAGAGACCTCTTGTGAACTATATATATACGTGTGTGTATATATATATGTGTGTGTGTATATATATATATTTGTGTGTGTGTGTGTGTGTGTGCTGCTAGGGATTGAACCCAGAGCCTTGCTCTTGCTAGAAAAGAGCACTGAGCTACATCTTCAGCCTTATAAATACTTCTAATGGGACCATTTACACAATTTTGTTTCAATCTATTAAACCTCAAGAATCAATAATAATAAAGAATCAATAATAAATTCATGCAATAGTTTAGAACTATTTTGAATAAATTTATCATTTGTTAATAAAAATTAAGTAACCTAGAGCCTTCAGTTGGTAGAAAATGGCCTATGTTTTACTTACTCCTTTTTCTAAATTTAAATTTCCCTCAAGGGATTAAAGTATCTTCTGATGACATAATCCTAGGATTTCTGAGATTGATGAGAGACTTTTTGAAAAGGTGGAAGTGGAGCTGGGCATGGTGGCTCATGACTAATCCCAGAATTCTGGGTGCTGACACAGGAGGATCGCTGTGAATTTGAGGCCAGGATAGGTGACATACATAGTGAGCTGAAGGGCAGCCTGGACTATAGTGAAACCTTGTCTCAAAAACATTAAAAAAAAAAAAAAAACAAGAAAGAAAGAAAAAGAGAAAGAAAAGATGGAAGTGGTGAGGTATTTTATAGCTTAGAAATAATTTGAATAATTTAGAAATAATTTTCAAATAAAAATATACAACTGATTTTACAGCAATGGTGAATATGAGGCTACTTGTGAAGGTTTATAAGTCGATACTGTGTATTCTTTTCTTTATACAATCCTGGGGCTAAATCTGTTTTAATCCAGAAGAAACAGATACTCTGAAGTCTTTTTTAGGGCTGTATGTCATCACATTTTCGAGCAGTTGTTTCCTCAGTTATTCATTTAGTGTGGGATGGGCTTCCCAAGGGGGAGACAGATATCCCAGCAGGCTGGCAAAGTTAGTAGTTCCAGATGGTTTGCAGTAGTATTGAGGATGGCACTTTAAAAATGGCTTGGAAAAGAAAATCATTGGTTGTAGACACTAATACTTAAGTTACATTGAATTGTGTGAATCATGAATGACTTTGGGATAGGTCATAAAATCATTAAGCTTTGTTTCAGTTTTACATATATACATGAAAAACTATGTGTATACAAGTCACATATCACTCTTTTTTATTTATATATGAATTGGTACATTTTAGGTATATAATACATTTACATTTATCATTGGGTGTTTGTACCTGAACATGATGTATCTTAGCTCTTATTTTTT